AAGTTCTTTATTGGAGAGAGGGGGTGGAGGATTTGGGTGGGGGTGGGAAGAGGGAGGGGGAGAAGGGTCTAAATAAGGGATGGGAGGAGAATCTTATCATCAGTGCAGCAAGTATTCAAAGCTACATCAAATGAAATGTGAAGACAACAAATAGTATCCATGCTAAAAAGTCTTTTTAAACAATACAAACTGTGTCGAGCATAGGAAATACGGACCTCTGAAAACTTCAGAGGTGGCATCATGTGTGCCTTGGAGGAGTAAGAACCAATTTCTCATTAAAACTAAAAAATTTTAGATTAAAATTTAGATTAACTAGAAAACTGACCAGTCAGCAAGGGCTCCGCCAAGGGGTAGAAATATAAGGGTGCAGCTTACAGAATGAGAATTTTAATTGATTACAAAAATTAAAAAATATATTAAGAAGAATATGCAATAACATCTGTATTTATAAAATTTCAAGATAATTCCTAAATATCCAACAACCTGTAAAGAGTATCCCTGTATTAACATAAGGCAGTAAAAAACATCATATCTATAATAACTCAATTAAATGTATATTCAAAGAAGAATAAAACATGTGTTTTATTAAATGCCAGCCTTCAGTGAATGCAAATATCACCCAGGCTTGACTTTAACTTCAAAACAAACATCAGTTGCACACAAAGGTTAATTTATCTTAAAGTGACAAATAAAGATAAGCCTGGAAAATGTTCTGCCCCAGACAAGATAATTAATCCCAGGGGATTAATTGTACTGCTCTCTCATCCTTTTCTTCCAAGTTTACAATAAGAACTTTTTCAGTAATGATAGAATGAGTTAATTATCGGACTACCTGTTAAAATTAATAGTATTCTTAAATTTACATACAGCAGCAAAAAAAGAAAAAAAAAATTGAATAAATAAATAAATAAATAAAAACAAAAAAATTTAAAAACATATCTTTATGTATATCTTGTTTTTAGAATTCAATAAAATCATAACTCATTATGTATTTTACCAAAATAAAATATGAACATTATTTAAATCGACATTTCAGAGAATGTAAACATCATTCGGAATTGACCTTAACTTCAAAACAAACTTCATTTGCAGAGAGAGGTGTTAATTAATCTCAATTTGACAGAAACAGATAATGCTTTGGATTTTCTTCAAGAGGAAAGTTAATTAATCCCATGGGACTAGTTGCAGCTTTCAAAGTTTACAATAGGAACATTCTCATCAGTTAACTCTCTTTGCCCTGGCATTCATTCTAATGTAAAGTTAAAGAATCTACCCCACCACCCCAGCTCCAAACTGGATGACATAGAGAACCAAACTTAGCATCAAAATTTGTCTTACTGCCTCTTCAACCAACATACCAAATTTGAACTTAATTGGTCAACTACAAAAAAAGTTATTAGAAAAAAACAGAAAATTTGTGGACGGAAGAATGACAGACGGACAGACAGACAGACAGAGGGATTACTATAGGGCACCCGCAAATCAAGAATCTACCCCACCACCCCAGCTCCAAACTGGATGACATAGAGAACCAAACTTAGCATCAAAATTTGTCTTACTGCCTCTTCAACCAACATACCAAATTTGAACTTAATTGGTCAACTACAAAAAAAGTTATTAGAAAAAAACAGAAAATTTGTGGATGGAAGAATGACAGACGGACAGACAGACAGACAGAGTGATTACTATAGGGCACCCGCAAATCCTTGCGGGGCCCTAAAAATTAAAAACAATAGACAACCATTGGTGTGCTACATAGCCCTATGTATAAGTTCAATCCTTTCCTAAGAGTTAACTTTCCTTTTGCATTATCGTATCTGTCAGTGGTATTTTTATTTTCTTTACTTGATAATGCTCTTGTATCTGCTTTAATCAACATCCTGGGGAGATTTATATAAGATTGGAATTTTAAACTGCATGCTTGTTCTTTATAAATATAATTATTCCAATCCACTTTATCAACTCCTTCCCTTTTAAATATATTGAATAGATGGAGGGATTGATATATTGATAGATGGAGGGATTGATATATTTATATATATTGATAGGACAATGGATTGATTAATCTATCGGAATATGCATTCTTTTATAGTTAATTAACATAATTATATGCTACAAAAATATTCTTGTAATGAATAAACTATCAGGTCAATGTACAGGTGTAAAACCAATAAGAAATCAAATTCTATCACCAATAAAAAAAGAAAAAAAAAGAAAGAAAAGAATAATATCTACTAGATTGAAAGATTTTTAAAATTAAAATCACCATAGTGACTACCCAGGATTCTTATAATAACCATCATGTATGATCATGAATTAAAAAGAAAAAGAAAGATTCTATTGAAGAACATGAACTTAAAATCTGTTCATAATGAAATATCAAACAAATATTAGTTCAATACATGAGCCACTACATATTACACCAACATTACCTCACTGTGGGATTGACATCTGAAAAAAGATATGTAATCTTAAAATATATTTTTTTTATTGAGGAAAATCGATAAAATAAGCGGACAAAAGAAACTGATTTCTATGATACAGCAAGATCCTCTTATGATTTGGTATACTAAACAGCAGTACTGACCTTGACACATTGGTTATAGAAATACCATAAATGGCAACCCTATGAAGTATTAACATACCTCGGTACACATACTTGTAGCAAGGAATGTATAGGTACCTCCCTGTTTTTGTTGTTGTTGTTGTTGAATAACATTTGTTACAGTATATGATTATTTCTCTGACAAAATTAAGTGGTGCAATCAGCTAAATCAGGGAAATAATGACTCAGCTGGCTTATCATAAGAACCTGTTTCAGACTCTGCATATTACATGTATCAGAATGACCTTGACATTAGAGATGTATCATGTATATGATCCCTGAGTAACCTGCGTGAATCATAACTTGGATTTAGCATTATCTGTAACAGTTCAAGAATTACATAAATCTCACAATATTTATGCACATGACATTGAATAAATGAATACATCCTGAGGAAAGAATGGGGATGGACAACATGGACAAAGTCACGCTCTGAGGAAATATTTTAGACTCAATAATTACTGCCAATTGTCTGTAAGTTTCTTACTAGACTTTGCAACATTAAAGGAACACTATGAAAAATCTGAAAAGGAAAGAAAGAAAGATAACTAAAGTTTTATAAGATACCTGGGGTGCATTCAAAAGTGTAGCAACTACTTAGCCTCTACATAAAGCTACAATCTTGAACGTTAAGCTAGCCTAGCTGCTACGTAGAGAGAACTTGCATAAATAATTGATGCCAAGTCCCAAATCCAAGATGGCGTCCTTAGTTACCAGTTCATGAATTAAATGCAAATTTATTTAAGAAAAATGAATTTAATTTTTGAAGATTCATGAGGACATGAACTGTGACGCTTCACGTCGGCATATTTCATGAAGCGCATCAGCACTTCATGATAAACATGCCGGCATGAAACGTTGTAGTTCATGTACCTCATGAATTTTCAAAAAATTAAATTCATTTCTTATATATTATTTTACATTATTTTCTGATGAGTTGACACAAATTACGCCATTCAACTGTCATTTTTAAAGCAAAACAGTTTGCACTATAGTTTTGATGTCCAGTATGGTATTATGACGTAACACTGATATTCATGCTCATCCATGGTAGTTCATGAGAAAATGAACAGTCTTCTAAATTGCAAAGAATCCTAAGGAAAAATATTTGAAAATACAGTTGAACCTGTGTATCCCAAACACAGATATCTCGAATGCAATGGATATGTTAGTGATTGGAAAATCCCAAGCCCTTTTTCTTTAAGTATTTTACCCTCAATATCTATAACCCATGGATATCTTGAAGTTTTTTCTTGGTCCCATCTCGTTTGAGATAACAAAGTTTGACTGTATATATTTTCTTGAAATAAACTCTTTTTGCTCCAGAAATAAGTTTTTACTGAATAGATGTATTTTTATCCAAAATCTAACACTTAGCTGCTAGGCTAGCTGTCCGTTCGATAAAGATAGATATCTACTAACTAGCTGCTAGGTTAGTCACTATGATCTTGAATGCAGCCCTGATATCAGTACTTTCAGGGATATCCAGGGTCAACATTAAGTTCAAAACAAACTAGACCAGTCGGATTAGTACCTGGAAATTTTATGATAACTGACCTCAACTTCACTAGACCTGACTAATGTCCATAGATCAAGATGCAATTAATTATTACTAAAATATTTACATAAAAATTTGTAGTTGAATACGGACATCCTCAATGTTAACAATTTTGTTAACTTGGTTTTTTTTGGTTAATTTGATTTGATAAGTTGGTAATTTTTTTAGGTAAAAAAAGTATATATAAACGAATAAATGTCTTTTTATTGGATTCAAGAAGGGAGATGTATCGTATTTCTAGTAAATTTAGTTCTAGGTCTGTTTCAGTTAAAACATATATACATATACTGTGCAACAGAATGACCTAGCAGGAAGGATAACTCTTGTAGAATTCAGCCATGCAAGAAAATAAAATAAATTAAGGAATTTACAAGAAAGTAACATGAATAAAGGAGATAAACTAAATTTTAAAAATCCATGAAAAGCATTAATGAAACTCTTATTTTACAATTTCTAGGTATTTTTCATATTGCACGTTAAGTCTTCACAATTATTTCCATTCATTCTGAAGCCTCAAATTGCCTTCAAGATAAAAAGTTCAAAAGTTTGCTGATAATCCGCCAACACAAAATAACCCTGCAAAGTGCAATGTCAAACGCCCATACAGTTAGCAATAAAAATGACAGCTAAAGGTACAACCATTGATTGAGAGCAAAGATAAACAGATAAATGTTAATTTGTTTCACAGGGGAAAAAATCAACACTCAATCAAAAAAATCATAAATGCATCAGTATTAGGAAAAAATGGCTTTTGTCTACAAATGCCCTAAAACTTTTGAGAAAAAAAATACAAATACTACACATGGTGTATCCGAGAAAATCCGGGATGTTCCTTACCCGCAATAGAGTTGAGTGCTTGATTGTGATTGTTAGAACCGTGTGCTTCGTGGCCGCACTCCAATAACCTAGTGTCCTTATTTATCATGCCTTACATACGCCCTTATCTTTTTGTATACCGTGTCAAATCCCGATAAGCCCAAACAACATAACAACTAGCATCTCGGTTTCCTCTCACGAATTCTACCGGAAACGAGATTGTCCATGCCGCGTTCAGTTTACATACACTAGCACAGAAGTAGTGATCATCAGCTATATAGGACTGTTCACTAGAGTCGGTGCGAAAACAAACTGGTCTATACTGATAAAAGTTTTGCACTTATAGTATACACGAGCATGTTATGTAATCTTATCAGTTTATTCCTACATTTAAAAAAAATCATTAAAAGTTGCTAACACATAATGTTAAGAGACCTGTGAGTTCACCATTCAGAAACAAAAGTTGACATCTATGAAACATTGACCACCTAAACAAGCAAAGAAAGTTAAAGACTTGAATTTAAATTCCAAAAGATGTACAATTTTTCACTAAATCATTTTCATAACTAGCCTAATGTATTTGTATTGTGGCACGAGGTAATCAAACGCATCATTGATCGCCGTTTACATGAGTTGACAGGGTGGCGATTTGCCGTTGGACGTCTTGGTCCTGTTATTTCATGACTTCTGATCAAAATGTCAGGACAGACGGAAAGAAAAACAAATGGATATATAGATACCCAGAGTCAAGGTAAATAATATTGATAAATATCCAAGGATTTTTCACTGATTGGTATTTCGTTATTATCTCACTGTGTTTCGAATTTCCTCGAAAAAAAAAATCGTAAGTGGTCAATCTCCGATCGCCATCTCCTTGGACATGTCATATTATATATATGCCCTTTCAATTGGGAATTTCAAATCAAAATTCAAGTTATTTTTATATAAAAAGCACTAAAAAATTCAATTTGTTTGTCATTTGGGAATTGTTACCTAAATTCAGAGGAACAGAGTCAATTTTCATTTGGGATAGGGTCCTTTTACCGGACCTGGATTCAGTGGATATTGAGCCCTGGAACTAGAAACCAACTTTTATTTGTGGCTACTAAATATTACATATTTTTTTCTCTTGCTTTTGCTTATTCTCTGTTCTAAACTGGCTCTTTGCTTTCATCAGTCCATCCTCTCTAACTAGAGAACGTCACAAGGAAAAGAAAGTTGAATTATTGTGTTCAATTTTACTTCCAGCTATCTTTCAGTTAATTCTTACATAACTTTTACATAAATTAAGTCACAGTTTTGATAATTTGCTATTGAAAACAGCTGAGGAGAGAGGGAGTATGAAGAAGGGAGGGGATTTAATCTCGGTGGAGATTCGGCTGGGCTAGATATTTGGTCTGACGCCCACCAAATCTCGGGACAGTCCTTCATAATTCATGTCTGGGAATTCAGCCCCAACTTCGGCCGGCCATAGCAAGAATTATTCACCTAGGTGACACTGTCGTTCGCTTCAATTAAGTCATTTAGTAGTTTAATTAACTCTCTGTCACTATTATTTCTACCTTGCTTACCGTCTAGGCATGTAAATCCCAACATAAAAACATTCACTGAAATATCCGTTCAAAATATGGCTCCCCTGACGTAATTGTTTATCTCCTCGCACTAAAGAGTTCCTCTATGGTCTGTTTTCATTTCTATCAAAAATACTTAAAAGCCACAGTAGAGGTTCAGTATCACATAAAAGAAAACAGACTGTAGGAACTCTTTAGTGCGAGGAGATAAACAATTACGTCAGGGGAGCCATATTTTGAACGGCGATTTTAATGAATGTTTTTATGTTGGGATTTATATGCCTAGACGGTAAGCAATGTGAAAATGATAGTGACAGAGAGTTAATTAAACTACTAAATGACTTAGTTGAAGCGAACGACAGTGTTGCCTAGGTGAATAATTCTTGCTATAGCCGGCCGAAGTTGGGGCTGAATTCCCAGACATGAATTATGAAGGACTGTCCTGAGATTCGGTGGGCGTCAGACCAAATATCTAGCCCAGTCGAATCTCCACCGAGATTAGGAGGGGATTTAACTTACTATACAGGGTTGTCCCTAAGAATTAAAATAGCAGGGGAGATTTAAAAAGTAGAAGGGGGTTTGTGATGCCTCCCCTAACAGAGGGTTGAGAGGGAATACCAGAATAACCAGGGGTTTACACCATTATAAACAAGGAAATTCCCCGGCTCTTAGGGACAACCCTGTTTTATCTATAAATTATATTTCAATGTTTTAAATTGCTCTTACCTATTTTCCCTTTTCAGAAACAGCAGCATATCTGAAGTATTTCAGTTTAGTAACACTGATGCTTCAAAATGCAGTCTTCATATTAATGATGCGCTATGTACGGACACGCCCAGGTGACATGTTCATGTCCACTACTGCTGTGATCATGTCTGAAGTTCTGAAATTCCTTGCGTGCTTCATAATCATTTTTTATAAGGAAGGAGGCATGAAAGGATTCCTTTCTCATCTAAATGAGAACATCATAAAACAACCCATGGACTTCCTTAAGATTTCTGTCCCCTCAATCATATACACTCTACAGAATAATCTGCTTTTTGTTGCTGTCTCAAACCTGGACGCTGCTGTTTTCCAGGTAGGTTCAAATTTTTAAAAATAAGTGATAGGAATTTCTCTTATTCAAGACTTTTTACATGAGCCTAGAAATTGTTCTAAAACTTACACCAAATTATTATTAATATGTAAATACAGTTGAATTTCAATATCTTGAACACTGATTTCTCGAAAACCATGGATATATTGAAGTGATCTGGAAGTCCCAACCGATAATTTTAAGTATTTTACCCTTAATATCTCGAATCCTTGGATATATCTCAGTCTTTCTTCAATCTCATCGAGTTCGATATAATTAGGTTTGACTGTAATATGTATTGAAAAGTACATGTTTCTAACAGATTGAATTTTGGGCCAATGTTCCTCTTCAGCTTCTTTAAAAATTAAAAGTTAACATCATTCAGTTGTTTGAAACACTGTTCAAATTCCAAGTACTGTATAGGGGATTAATTTCACGGGGGTGTAATTTTCACGTTTTTCTCTCCTCTGACATGATCGCGGTTTGATGAATTCGCGGAATTTGTATAAAATAAAAGTTACCTCCCTTCTCTGTATCCAGTATTATAACAGAAGGAAAGAAAATTATCATCGTCATGTATACCCTCATAAACATTACTCGGGGAAGTTTAAATAAAGTGGTTAGATTTGATAATTAATATACAATTAATTGGCATTAAACGCCTTTAACTATAAACATCGAACAACTTTCCTGTATGATACTGCAATGAATGCATGTACACCCCAAGATTTAATTTCTTTCCGATGGAAAAATACATCGCAGCGAAAACCACCGGACGATAATAATTGTGTTATTGTATGTCGAGGAAATAATATACTTCCATATCTACAGTATGTCCTAAAGTTATTTGAATAAATATTTTTTTGAAACCCAGATGTCGAAAACAAACTAACGCGCACGGTCCGGTAATGTTGACTTCTGTACATAAATATGCCTATTGTAGCCTATACTTAGATTTCCATAAAAAAAAAAATTAAAAACTTATGCACCTGTTCACTGTTTCTTGAGTTCACGGATTTTTTAATGCCGTGAATATAGCGAATATTTACACCGCGATTTATTTTCCCCCTATACAGTATTTGTAACAGATATTTATGGACAATTTGTTATGGACATTTTACCCAAGACAGAGAAGCTCATTTTATGAAATATTTTAAAATTAAAAAAAAAAGGTTAGCTTAACCATGTTAAATTTGGCACAAGATTTTAGCTTTTGTAATTTACTTAAATGTTTTGTGGGGATTTTGTTTATGATATAAAATAAAAATTACAATCTACTAATTATAATGTGCAGTGTTAACCTGGGAGAGGTTTTGGCAATTTTGATATTTCACTTTGAAACAAAATGTGTTAGTAAAAGGAAAGAAAGAAAGTTGATGAATGTGAATTTTGTAGAAAATGTACAGTCATAATAAGAGAGCTACCTGGGTCAAGTTTTGAATTTCCCTGATTGTACCTCAAAAGAACTACTCTGATAATGTATGAAATACAACAGGAGTTCGCGTACCTATCAATTTTACCGAATTTTTCAGTAAATATAAAAATTACATAATACCTATTATAGGTATTACGTATTTTTTATATTTACTGAAAAATTCGGTAAAATTGATAGGTATGCGAACTCCTGTGGAAATACAAAAATTAATGTATTTATCATGATAAAATATATAAACATCATTGAGGCTGATTGGTTAATTAAATATTTATAATATGCAAATATATATTCATGAGAGTGCAAGCCTGTTTTTGTCCCTCTGTGAAAGTATACAAAATAGGTTCAACATGTTAGGTAAATACAGAGAATGTGTTCCCTTGTTTATCAACACGCGCAATACAGACAGGAATTTGTAATTAGAACTGATTGCATTAACATGATTAATGCAGTCATTTGTCATGAAAATTAAGATATTTGAATGTTTAGGGAGGGTTGTTTTGTCTAACAGGATATGCTTTGGAAGATGACACTTGTACACTTAAAAACTGTACTAATTGTCACAGTTATATTCTGCTATCATGTTTATCGTATGCTATAATAAAAAAATGTTTTCCTTCCTTTTCTTTGTTTAATGGGATTACTTGTTTATAAAGTACAAAACATATTATGTTCAATTTAGCGTGATTTATGGGGAATTTTTTTTTTATTTTTAAAAAATCTAGGATTAAACATGTTAAAGTTTATGCTGCAAGAAATTAATGGTATCTACCAAATACATGTACCAACCTTATTTTTGGAAAGAAGGGGGGATGCAACCAAGAACACACAATTTATTTTTTGTTTTTTGGAGGGAGACCTAAGTGTTAAGATTACCAACAATACAATAATCCTGTAGTAATTGTTGTTAATTATCTCTTAGCATTTTCCCTAAACTGTGTGTATAACCAGGATGTAAAAGCAGAAATCAGGATGCCATTATCCTTTGATATTTGATACTACTTACATATACATTCTCAGAGACTTAATAATCAATTTAATCTCATTCATGGGCCAACGAACAAGGCAGGAAAAGGCTTATGAAAACATTGAATACGTTTATAATAAAGAAGTAAATATTACAGACATTCACTCAATATTTCAGACGGAACAAGATTGATGATGAACAATTGTTGATAATATTTGATTTTAATAAATCAGCCAACAGCTGCGTTAATTACGCCTTCAAAGTCTTAGTCAATTCATGAATTTTATTTTCAACATATTGTGCTTCTGCTTTGCGATACCTCAAATATGTGTAAGAACTAATGTTGAAGTTTCAAAGCACGTACCGTGTGGGCACCATCAAAAACTGATGAATAGTGACCACTGACTCTCAACAATTTATCACTAATTTATTAGGCTTGTTACTGACTGTCTACAGAAATATATCGGGTTGATCAATCTCATAGACAGAGAGAGGAAACCAGTACTGAGTAGACTGTTGAGTAAAAAAAATAGTTAAAAATCTGTTCATAAATTTTTCTCACCATTCATAAACTTCCAAATGTTATATGTTGAGTAAGAAAATTTTTAGAAACAATGTTGAGTAAGAAAAATTTTTGGAAACAATGTTATCATCGATCAGACTAAATAACCATGTCTCTGCCTTTTTCAGGTGACGTATCAGCTCAAGATTTTAACCACAGCTCTGTTCTCCGTCATCATGCTCGGTAAACCGCTGAGCCGCCTGCAGTGGGTCTCCCTCTTCATCCTTTTCTGCGGGGTGGCCCTCGTACAAGTTCAACCCACAGGCTCGTCCCAAAGTAAAGTCCCAGTTAAACAGAATCCCTTGTTAGGACTTATAGCCGTCCTAGTACAGTGTTGTCTTTCCGGTTTTGCCGGAGTTTATTTTGAAAAGATCTTGAAAGGTACCAAGCAGTCCATCTGGCTCCGAAATTTTGAGCTCGGAATGATTGGAGCCATAATCGGATTCATCACCATGGAGCTAAACGATGGGCAGAAAGTGGCAGAGAAAGGATTCTTTTTCGGTTATGATTATGTGGTGTGGACTGTTATATGCCTTCAGTCATTTGGGGGGTTGGTCGTAGCAATCGTCGTTAAATATGCAGACAATATCCTTAAAGGTTTCGCAACCTCAGGTGCAATTATTATTTCATGTATAGCAGCCATTTATTTTTTCGATTTTCATTTGTCATTACAGTTTTTTGTTGGGGCAAGTCTGGTCATTATATCAGTATTTATGTACAGCAAATTCGTACCCCAGAAGCCTCCAGCCTTTCCCCCAGCCACACAGAATGTTTGATGTTAGTGGGTTGTATAATTTTAATTGGGATCTGCAAATGTCACAAGGATTTTTACATAATCATATAAATTAAAATGTCATATGTGGTAAATGTATATGAAATTTTTTTTTTAATTGTTCAGTATTTTTCAAATAAAAATATGGTAATGTACAAATGTATTGTGTATTGAATATAAATCTAAGTTTAAATTTAATGTTCTGTGATTAAGAAACTTAGATTTTTTTTAGTAATTTTACTATGCATTCATTAACCTTTTTTGTACAATATTGTTCATCCCTTAAAAGCTAATGAAGTTCATATAATGCATGACATACTTATTGCATCTCAAAGTCTGTTTTCTTGCACTGTCTTTCATCTATATTTCTCAACTTATTGCATTTTGTACTTTCCACCAATAATTTATTGCAGTCATTGACTATAGTTCTGTAATTACAAATTAATATGCTTAATTATGTCAGTGACCACAGAAATATATGTACATTACTAAATAAAACTATTTTAATTTTATTTAATATTAGGTGCTAAAAGAAAATTAAGCAAAATTATTACCTACAAAGTTAAACCCATTCACAGTGTTATATCACATATGATTTTTCTGTCACTTGAAATTGGCAGAGGAATGTGTTCAAACCTAAGTTTTTAGACCACCAAAATGTATGTAGACTGTCATAATTTTGATTTTGCAAAGATTTGAAAAAAAAATCATATTTTGATTTTAGATTCATCACCTTTCAGGTCCCCAAAATAAATTTCAGAAGTTGTTTTTAGTATCTCAATTCAAGTTGCTTTAAAGAAAGGTTAACAACATTGATTAACAAAATTGGGTGACTTTTTAAAAAAATCCATCGTTAAATAAAATCTTGCTTTTTGGTAGCAAAGATGCATGTGCCTAGTTGCAACACTACGTATAGCTCTTTGCAAAATAAAATTTAGTGTGTTTGTTCAAATTTTATTTCCCAGATATCTACTGTTCTGCAGTTAGCATATGTGCCTGGATAATCTTTTGATTAACTTTACTAAGTTGTCCATTACTCATGACTTTGAATCAGAAGAAATCTGCAATTTACTGTCTCATATTTTCAACCATCCTCACATCATCAGGGGTCCTGAGTCTACTTCTGGCAGTGGGACCCTTCACAAACTTCATTCATTTTTATTGGGGGGGGGGGGGGGGGGGCAGCTTCTTTCATTGAGAAGCACCAATCAAATTTGAGCTTTCATAAGTTAAACAGAAAATGTAAACTGAAAGTAAGCAGTGCATGTGTTACAGATTGTTTGTCACCAAAAGGCTTTTGTGATTGGTCGAGAGATAAGAAAAGCAATCAGGATTTGTAATTTACCTGAGGGATGTCACAGCAGTCAGCCCATAAAAAACTGAATGAAGTTTGTCAAAGATCCCACGGCCGATAGTGGACTCAGTGCCTGACGTTGTGAGGATGACTATCAGCACTGATTTTCTAACCCTTGCATCATTTCTTGGAAAATTTCGATCATGTTACAGAAGAGATGAGCAGCAGTGCATGATAATTTTCAAATAGTTTCAAACCATTTCAATTTATTTTTGATTTTACTGTTTATAAATTCACCTGATTCAGATCTTCCTCAAGATTAGTGCACAATCTTTTTTGCAAAAACTTTTTTTCTTTAAGTTATGTATATGTACATGTATATATTTATGATGATATATGTAATGAATATCAATTTGTTAACTATGGTTTTCTCCACTCTGTCTTGTTCTATAATTAGAATTTTCCTGCCAGCAAGGTCAGTACAATGTATTGCATAAATACCCAAATATCTATGTACTTTTTTAAAATATTCAAAGTATACTATAGATTCCTAATATATCAATCTGATTAAAATCAGATCTTTGTTAATCACATCTCCGAAATTCTGATGGTCTCTTTACAAAGCAGAGACCGTCAGAATTTCGGAGCGTAACAAAGATCTGATTTTAATAAGATTGCTAAATATAGCATTATGTGAAGAATTTATTATCATGTAATTCGGCTAGAGGCACCACTACTGGAAATAAAATTACTCGATTTTATTTTTGCTGAAATGCAAAATATTTTTATCAACAGTCCACTAGCAAATTCATGTGCTTGTGATTTGACGTTTACGAGTCATTTTGTGATATTAAGTACTTGACAGTGGGTAAAATAAGAAATCTACAGCTATTGGATTACAAATTTTTGACAATCATTTATTGCACGTCCAGTGGTATGAACTTGTCATATTTAATACTGTACTTATTTACTTTTAGTGAATTCAAAATTTAGCTGAACATTACATAGATAATGCAGATTATTTCATAGATTAATTGTAAATTGGTGCTATCAGCATTATTATGTACAGATGTATCATTTGTTAAAAATATATTTTTAAATTAATGATTTTCCTGAGTTAGCACCCTATCAGCTTCCTTAAATATGTATCCTGCTAAAATAAGCAAGTATACATGTACATGTGTGGCATTTTAGGGATTTTTTGAAGGTGGTTTAAATGACATATTTTACTATGTATATGGATGGCTTTTGAAAGGAAAGCAAAGTGTGTTCAAATTTCAATATTCTTTTTTTTTTTGTACTCCTGGACCAGCTATTTATAGCAATATTTACAAGAAGTCACAGTGTTACATGAATCAATTATTATATCATCATTTTTTTGGAAATTTAGGAAAAGATCACATCCTCTTTTCTGTAATGATGATGATTTTCTATCAGGAAATGGGGGTAAAAATGAAATTCAAGCAAATTTAAGATGCCATACTGGGCTGAATTTTGAGATAAATCATCGTAGAAAATTAAATTCAAGCAATTTTAAGATTATGCCATATTGGGTAAAGTTGAAGATGAATCATTATAGAGAATTCCAATTTTTAAAAACGAAATTCAAGGAAAATGAGGATCCTATACTAGACCAAATTTGAATTAATTAAATCATTGTAGAAAATGAAATTCAAGGAAATTTAGGATGCCATATTGGGCAACTTAAAGATAGGTAGATCATAATTTCAAGCAAATTTAAAATAGCACACAGCAAAATTTGAGACGAATCATTGCTTATGATGAATATATAATTGATTGAGCATGTTTTACAGTTATCTCCCTTAGTATAGCGGGTCAGTTCTCCTTATTAACATTTCTACAATGAAAATATATACTGGGTTTTTGGCCATGAATATAAATGTGTGAATGGGGTTCACTTTTGTGTGACTTGTTCCTTTAATTATATTACAGCTTTAATTTATAATTAATGAAAGAACTGTATTTATCACTTTTTATGGTAAATAAATTATTAACTTCAAATATGCTTTAAATATTATAAATATGTATATACAAGCATGGATTATATGTATTTCTGATCATAATAGGATATATAAATGACATTCCAATTAATGTGAAGCTAGATTTTTAGAGGTTATTACCATATATGTATATTGTATGTGTAATATATATTTCAGGGGCTAAAATTAGCACAGGGACTTGAGACAATCTTAGCAAAATCGGGTATACTATATACCAAATTTTGCTAAGATTGTCTCAAGTCCCTATGAATTATATATTATTATCAATTTTTCATATGGAAATCCATTTTCAATATGGGATCTTTTTTTGTGAAATATTTTACCTTACGATACAAAAAGCTGAGGGCATATTGTTAGTAACATAATTGATTTTTGCTTTATGTTGCATACATTTTCCTTTCGTCTATACTTTGATACTAGTGTAGATATACCAACACACAATGAAAAATCCAATCTTTGTGATGCATCTAGGAATAACATATTGTCACAACAATTGTGCAATTTCAAAAGCAATTGCTTTATTATACTACGTATCAGCATTTTCTATGTAAAAATGATCAAGCCATGATGCACCAGTAAAATCAACAAAACAGAGATATTATTAGCTTTAGCTGGTATATTTTGAATGTGCTGGAATTGATACTGTATTTGCCACCCCTTACCAAACTGTTATGTTTGCTGCAGACCTGCAGCAAGTCTGCTGCAAGTTTGCAGCAAACAAAATTGTTCGCAGGAAGAAACTTTTCTTGTTCGCAGATGATTGCCGCTAGCTGCGATCTTGCGGCAAACATTGCAGCAATTGCTGTAAGCTTGCAGCAAATTCGCAGGAACTCAACATGTTTGCAGGAACATTGCAAGAAACATACACGCCAATCTGTTGTTCGCAGCAAGTTCGCAGGAAACATTTAACAAATTGAATGTTTGCAGGAAGTTCGCAAGAACAGTAAACAAATCAAATCAGCCAATGAAATGCAGATTGTACGGGGGTCAACACAGAATTCGCCATTTTGAAATGTTTGAATTGAAGTGTAGATGTTTCAGTATTTTGTTAGGAATACTTCCCATTTTGAACATGTTGAATGATTACAAAAGCAAAATTCTGAATGTAGGTGTATATTGGCATACAAAACATCTAATTGGTAAGATCTGATTTTGTTTTATTTTGATAATGAAACAATTATCTCTTTAAAGCATGTTCAAGTAACATGTACTTGCTAGGTCAAATCTTAATCTATTTATGAATTTTAATCTTTATTTTAATATCACAATTGTATGTTTCTTTAAATGTATTAAAGGTTCCAAATCAACTATTATAAATGTTTATATGTTTTCAAATAAATTAGTATTAACCGTAAAATTTTATTGTTAAAGGAATGTGCGAAGTTTTTAATTTTCTGTACTTGTCAAAAAAATTATATTTTTTATTAAGAATAGAATGTGAACATTGTCAAGGAACATAAAGAGAGACTATCAACACTTCAGAAACTAGCTTGCATCATTTCATACACATGTGGTGGATTTTCTTTATAGTTAACTTCAACAGATTAAGGTCAGGACAAAGGCTTTCTGCGAACTTGCTGCTTGTACCCAGGAATGTGCCAAATACAATAATTATATTCCTTGCCGCAAGTTAGCAGCAATGTTTGCTGCAAGCTTGCAGCAATGTTTGCCGCAAGCTTGCAGCAATGTTTGCCGCAAGCTTGCAGCAATGATTGCCGCAAGCTTGCAGCAAGGTTGCCATATTTGGAAAATCCAGTGTTTGCTGCAGACTTGCAGCAAACCTCATTTGCATGGTAAAATGTTTGCTGCAAGCTTGCTGCATACTTGCCGCAAACTTGCTGCAAACCCAACGGCTTTGTATAGGCTGCCATGGTTTACTTAGCTTCATTGCAGCAAGCTTGCAGCAATGTCTGCAGCAAGTTTGCAGCAATGTTTGCTGCAGACTTGCAGCAAATGTTTGCAGGAAGGCAATATTTTTGGTAAGGGACTGATACAAGAAACTAAATGATGTATACTATACACTGAAATTTTGTCAATGAAATGTCTGTTTAAAAAAAAATGTAAGGAGAATGTCTGTATGATGTTAAAGATGTGGGATTTTTATACAATGGATTTATATGTTATACATATTAAATAGGTAACATGAATTTAGGACTAGGAATTATGTGGGATAAATAAATTAGCTAAATGCTATCAACAGATGTTTGTTTTGTTTTTGTTTTAAACTAAAGCAGTAATTAAATTGTGAATACTTTTACAGTGAATCTTATATACTGACATATTTTGTCCCCCAATTTATGAAGATGTTCAAAATTTTACAAAGGAACAGCTTATATATGAAACAAGGAGAAATACACCAGACAAGGAATTTTAACAGGACTTGTTTCAAACCTTTCAATTAAAATTCTTTGTCAAAGTTTCTGCTCATGTAAGCTGAAGGCTTTTCATTGTAAAACTGTTATACATGTAAGTACAGCTTGCACTTCATGGGTCTTTGATCACTCTTATAGACTAACAGGGTGATTTTGTTTTAAAAAGATATTATGAATGAAAAATGTTCACCCTGAAAAGGAAGAAATCTTTTAGTTTGAGGATGATTTGTGTAGTTTAACATGGAAAAGTGAAAAAAATTAGGGATGTTAAATCGGTCAATTTTTGATAATCGGTTACTCGGACGTTTTTGCGATCGAGTACCCGGGTACTCGGTAAAAGTGTAAATACAAGTGTGTTAATTTTCTTGAACCCCGTGAAACCCCACGGCTGTTTTTATCACGTGTATAAATGTACTATATAAACACTGATTCCAACGTAAATGATTTTTGGCACTAAATTTATTTATCAAATAAACACAAAAGACATAATTATTAGATCAAAAATTACAAATGGTTTACAGCTCTTGTTTAGAATCTCTATTTCATCAAAAGGAGGACACTCTGTTACCCAGGTTTGTGATGATTAGACTAGCGAAAGAGAAGTAACGCACGTTGTTGGGATCGCTATTCTAATATTATAGTAAGTTTAGCGTATAAGGGGAAACAATTTTATATATTGATTGCTTCCCTCATATACATTAACTGACTAAACTTACTACGCTGACTTTCAACATTTTTTTTAAATATTTAGTTATTTCTAAGTATTTCTTCACTTTTGAAGTGAGTTGCTGCATTTCTATGCATGTCCAATTTCGCTGCCGTATATTAACTAAATAATTTAAAAATGATTTGAAGATAATAGACCATCGATATTCACTGAAAACAATCACTGAAGCCATCCAAAAATTATAAGGACCACAATAGGTGAGAACAGCTGGGTCACTAATTACTGTATATACACAGCCACAGGCGATAATTGGTGTTTTAGAGGACTCAGGTGTAGAAGACTACACGCTATAATTACCATATGCATACATGTATTTAAATTAGTTTTTGATAGATTAGTTTATTCAGGATATAACTTTGGGCAATACAGCCCATCAGTTTACAAAAATAACATATAATAAGATATATTACAAAATTTAAGATAAAAATAAGTACTTTGAAATAAGAAAAAATACACATCCGAGTAACCGAGTATCATTTTTAGTATTCGATACTCGGACGTCCGATCGAGTACCCGGTTAACCGGGTACTCGTTGACATCCCTAAAAAAAATACAAATGTTCATTTTTGGCATATTATAGAATATATATACTGAAACGCAAAAGAAACGCAACTAGCAGTAATCTACATATATTTGAACCTTTTAACTAATGATTTTCAAAACTGATTACAATTAAGTTAAACTCGATTTAAAAGCATCGAAGATTTGATAACAATGTTAAATGATTACCTTTTAACTTTAGAAAGTAACACATGACTTAAAACACGCCCCTTCTCGCCCATTCAATTATAGCGTGGAAGACTGCCATGCACAGCAATTGCAGCTTGATTTCCACGATGCAGTAAGTTCATCATTCTCGGGATTTGAGCGAAAAAAAATATTCTTTGCAATTTTTAAATGTCCGTTTTTGAGATGATGAAGTCGAATTTTCTCAAACCTAGCGCAGTGTAGTAACACTTGGACTTCCGGTCCACGGACTTTCATTCATGCAAATGATACGTATGAGCCTGTTGAGGCGTGTTGTTGGGCATTTTTGCATCTGCAATTCTCCATCACCTTTATTTTCAGATTTTCCAGCTAAAACATTTGAAATGCTTACTTAAGTCATTTTCAGGAAGCCTTGGCATCTCTTCCGGAAACGAAAGGAGAATTTTTTTTGCGAAATATTGCTGCATTACTTATGATAAACAGATACAAACCCTTAAATTCCCATATTTTTGTCAAATTTTTTGTTAAACATGCAATTTTTTTTATTTCTGTTCAGCGGGCTCAAACTTAACTTCCGGTTATGGCACGAAAATCGTTCAACCGTTAAATTATCGATACTTACAATGTTGAAAATATCCGTACTCTTTAGATACAAAATTATATCCTTTATACGATTTTCCCCTCTAAAATAGGATGTTGCGTTTCTTTTGCGTTTCAGTATATATGTAGTGTTGCAAATCTTTAAGGTCAGACGATACGTTCCTCGAAAATATATATTTTTTCCGAAGAATTTGTCCTTAAAGTATCTCTACTAAAACAAGTTTCCTCACAAAAATTTGAGGTACCTTACCAGGCATTTGGACAAGAAACCAAAGGGTGATATTTTTTTCTTAAATAATCCTTATGGGTAATCTGATGAATGGCCAATGTCAAAATTTTTGGTGTACTTTTTTTTAAAAAAAAGAACATATTGAAAACAATGTAGAATCACAAAAGAGTGATATTATGGATAATTTTTGATATACATGTAATACCAAGAGATATAAAACATTTGTGGGACATGTGATCTGACCTTAAGAAGTACATGTAAAAGCTAAGACACAGTTTAACTTTCAAATTTATTATATGTAATCACAATGAGATATCACATAGGAGATGCACAACATGAACATGACAGACCACATATAAAAGTAGGTTTGTTTCTCCCAGTGTTTTAGATTGCTTTAATCAGACTGACAAAACTGGGGGTATATATATATATTTTTTGATACCTCCAGTTTTGTCAGTCGAATTAAAACAAACTAAAGACCTGAGGTTTCTCCGTACAACCACTGGTTATTGGCAATTGTGGCATTCCATCTTCACTAGCCAAGTGTTTCTGATCCAAGGGGTTTGTGAGAAGAACACATCCTAAATACTTGGCCTGCGAAGATGGCGACACTTGTACAATCTAGTTTTATTTTATGAGTTCTTTTAGGATATGTACAAGAAACAAACTTAAGTTTAATATTGGCCTTAACAACAAACATGGAAAGACTTGGTGAATGCCACAGATCATGGAGATGTTTATCATTTGTATAATTTAACGTACTGGGCTATTACAATAGAGGAATTGTTTTATTGCAATTTTTTGCAGATAGTGAATCAAAGCAGATTCTGAATTGCAAAAAATCAATTTCAGAAGAAAAAAAATGTTATCATTCATTTCATAGTATTGATATTTCTGGTTAAACTGTAATTACATGTAACTATTTAAGCACCACAAAAAAGTAATTAGCACTGACTACTACACTCAAATTAAAGCACAATTTTCATTTGATATTACAGGTCAAAATAAACAATGCAGAATTTCAATCAAAATTGCTTTTCTACAAATTACTAGTAAAGCAAACAATTCATTGAAGAGTATTTTCAATCAAATGTTTTACATAAAAATTTCACAAAACATGGCAATTTCTAATATTTATAATATGTTCTACCTAAATCCACTTTAATAAGCAGCACACTAACATATCATTGGGAAACTTAGTAGAAAGTACTCATTTTTAAAGGGGGACAACTTTTGGTCCAAGAATTTTTTTGTAGTTGTAAATTCAAAAAGTACGGTGGAAAGGACAGACATAAAGGGTTCCTTGTGTTCACAGTGCTTTGCATTTCTCTTCCTATTCTCAAGCAATCATCAAACAAAATGAATTCAGGATGATGCAACATAAAATAAAATTACTTTGTACAAAAAGAACAGTAAATGCCTGATATATAAAAAAAAAAAAAATGTATTTTTGTTTTTACAAAAATTAAAAATTTCTCCAGTTATATTTATTTGGTAAAAATGTGTAATTATCAACAATATATTAATTATTTCTATAAACAAATAAAAAGTTCATGTTTATATGATCCTTAATTACACTTGATAATTATTTCTATCTAAGTTTGGAACCATATATATGCACAAGTTCCAGTTGTTATTACTGTGTGGTCTTGTATTGGGCAAAGCTCCTCCGACCTTGATAAATGCCCTTGGCAGCCATTTTCTTTGGAATTGTCTTTAGAGGACTGGTTTTCCCCGCAATGGAGTGCCTACTTTTTGGAATTTCTACACGAAAGAGAGAGAGAGAAAAAATGTTAAATTTTGAATTGCCATTTTCTGCAGACTTTTTAGTATTAAAGTGTTCATATGTATATGTGTGAATGAAACTACTAGAACATGAAAGAACTAAAATACAATGTACAAAATTTACTTTTTCTTTAAATTTCAAAAAACTATAACATCCATGAACCCAGCAAACCATCAAACAGAATTCTATTTATATACAAAATTTTACTGCAGAGGCATGCATGCTCCTAGAAAGCTTCATAAAACTGTGTTCTCCTAAAAGCTCCATAAAACTGTGTTCAACTGATAACTAGCTTTCAGCTGTGACACTCAAGGATTACTGATGCCATGGAAAGATAAATTTATATGCGTTTTGAAAACAATATACAGAGTTACCAGTTTTAGTAGTGCATTGTATTTATTTTGATATGAAAACAACCATCTGCATTGCAGTGCACATTTATCTATCCAGAGTTGTCTTCTGCTACATTCCCAACATCTCTGTCAATGCTCGTTATACAAGATTCTTGTACAAGTTTTAAAGGGTATAAATTTGAAATTAAAAATAGAAATTTCTTACTGTAATTATCGATAAAGATGATAATTATCATTTCTTTTAAATCTATCATCCCTCAAAACAATTTCTTTCTATTAAGTTTTTAGGGAACTATTTTATGGAGTAAAAATTAACTAGAACTGTCCAAAAGGGACAAATACCCCCCGCTGGGTTTTTCAGAGAAGGTACCAAATCACTAATGTTTTCTAGATGTGAGAGGTGTGTTCACAATTTGCTTAAACATTTAGAGTGAAAATTTAATTACTCATTATATTTTTTTTAATGAATGAAACTAAGGTGCAGCGTAATAAAACATCAATACTAGTAATTACAGTGTTTTTTATTACATTGAAAAAATAGTTTGTAATTATCTGTCATCTTTGTGAGACATGACACTCTGCAAATTGATTGTTGAAAAAAAAAATCATAATTAATTATACAAAATCAAATTGATCTTAATACCTTTCTATCAAACTCATTTTAAAAATAAAAGGCTGGTTCCAGTAACTATGTATTTTTTGACAGACATAAATAACAATTAAGAGACTTAGACAACAGAGATCTTTATTTCTTTCTGCCCTATTCCCAGGAGATATAGATAAGACCTGCTTGATCAGAGATGCCCTAACAGCTTCCCACACTGAACTCATTAATTAATCTTTAACTGGATGCATGTCCACTCATTACTCCCAATGGACAAATGGATTTACACTATCTGCTGTGTAATGTAAAAACTGTTTTTAATACTTTATGATTTTTTTTAGTTCTAATGAGTAGTTTTAACCTGTAGTTCACATTTTTTAACAGATGTTCTAGATTCTATGTCTCAAACCTTAGACATGAACCCAAAATGACTAAGTCAATAAAAATGAAAAAAAAAAAACACCTGCAAAATGAAGAAAAATTATCAAATAATGTTGAAAATACCAGGTGCACATCTTCATATGGTAAATAATAAGTGTACAATTTTTCACACAAATCTATGCAATAGTCTCTGGGAACAGATCCAGACAAAACCACATAATATAAATGAAAAAAACACCTGTAAAATGCAAAAAAATTATCCAATCATGATGAAAATACCAGGTGCACACCTTCATATGGCAAAGAATAAATGTACAAATTTTCAGACAAATCCTTGCAACAGTTTCCAAGAAATGGTCTGGACAAAATCTCGTCTACAGACAGACGGACAGACAGACAGACGGACAAGCTGATTCCAATATACCCCCCCTAAACTTCGTTTGCGGGGGGTATAAAAACTTAATTTAGAGAATCTTTTTAAGGGGTAATAGATTAAAATAAATCCTGTTTTCAGATGAGAAATATAATTTTGCTTCATTTACAATCTTTCCAAGAATCTTGTATAACAACGTTGACAGAGGTGTATGTGGGAGTGCAGCAGAAAGGACAACTCTGGATAGAAAATGACAGTGCACAAATCCTAGATATGCAAATTATTTTATGTATATATAGTTTAACTTCAACACAAGTAAACTTTACATTTTGAAACAAAACTTAATCTTCAATTCTATGTTAGTTGACTGCATATTAATAGTCATTGATTAATTTTATAAGAATGACATATTCCCATCATAGTTAAAATTCCTAGGTAATTTTTTCTGTAGAAGCATATACTGTAAAACCAGAAATTAAAAAAGTTTATGCATTCTTCCTTAAAACTGTTATAAAGTCTTTAAAATATATTTGTATACAGTGTAAATTTATTACCAGGTATACAGTGTAAATTTATTACCAGGAAAACTAGCATTTTTACTGTACATGTGTATTACTGCACATTTTCCATCACCATATACAGTAACACAATAGCAATTTTAAGTGTTACACATAAAGCCACTGGATGCATGTCCCAATTATTCAATACTTGTATACATGTATATCTGCATATATAATTTTTATAATTTAAAAAATATATATTATATACATTTTGATTGATTTATTGTGTACAGTTAGCAGAGCATATAAAGCGTATTCATGTAGAAACAAACCTCGTCTTGATTTTTGTTCTGTGCTTCTCTGATAAATCAAAATTTAAAACAGAATTACCGATTTAAGTAAGGTAGATCTAAGAGTTTTTTTTTCACTTTTATAAATAATCCTGAATAAATTTTTTTAAAAATCTTGGCACAAACTTTTAAACACTCATGACAAACTTTTTGAATGAATATGCATGTACATGTAAATGACAGTGTCAATCATAATTCTCTAACTGATTAGAAGCTCATGACAAACTTAATATTTACTTTTGTATGGTTATGTGAATGTGGAAATGTATGAAGCTTGATTATTCTGACTATGCCATCACTTACTGGAATTTCCACTATTCATATTCCCTCTCTAAGCAGTCATGTACAGTGTATATTATGTATATTATTAACCTACATGTAGTACAAAATTAGCTAAAGCTTCCAAGATTTTTTTTCGAAATAATATTTATGTTGAGGGTTTCTCCTGTAAACTGAAAATTTCAAGGAAAATAGTGGCGCAATTCTTGGAAGTCCTGTTTTTGATCTTACCAGGCTACGGCTGACCAGGGGGGACTCGGATAAGCTCATTTTTTGGGAGGAGGTACTGCTGGACTTGACCAAAGGACTGTAAAGCATGCAATACTGATGTAAATAACACAAAACTTGAAAAAAAAAAAAATGAACAGTAAAACAACACAACAACTTTAAAAGTGTCATTCTTATGTCGTTCTATAAAAAAGTTTACAATTTTCTGTAAGCCAAAATGTAATTTGTTTTGTATTTTCAAATAAAAAGCAAATAAACTTCCAAAGTCGTATTTTATGTACATGTATATTACTTCAAAGAAATTAGAATACAAAATTTTCACAAAAATGTGATATGTTTTATTGCCTTTTTTATCATATGAAATTAAAAATCATAATTTCTTCCATTGTAACATGGCGTCTTCTTTGGATTTTTGATAAAGTACATTTATGCTTTCATTTAATGCTTAAATACAAAGATTGCAAAACACATATTTTTCAACTAACTGCCACTTGAAAAGAAAATGTCTCTGTATACTAGATGTAGATATGTGTATCTCTTAAATATTTTATGCGAAAATTACAATGCATTATTTCGTCTTTGAAAAGAAATATGATGCAGACCTTGGTTGAGGTAGAGCACTGGTTGACTCACTACGCACTTTTTGAGGTGTTGGCAAAAAAGATTTTCGACGGACAGAGGCAGGCGTACTAGAACTAACAGAACTGGAACAGAACAAACCAAACATACAAGAAAGAGTAATAAACAATAACAAAATTAAAAGCAGGTTGCTATAAAAGAAAACTGTGTGTCGATGAGCTACTCCATGCTAGATAGCAGAGTTTAAAAATTGTATTTTAAATCCTGTTGTTTGCCAAGTGCTGCTACAAGTATATACAAACTGTACTACATATCCCGATATATGTACATGTAAATACATGTATGTGTCTCGAAAAAAATTGCTATGAAAATGAAAATCCTCTACTACACTGTATTGCTTCTGATGGTGTAGCCATTGACAAGAAGAAATCAACACAACACTAGAAATATGTCCATAGGACATGAATGCCCCGCCGAGGGTATATTAGTAATGCAACATTTTAACACAAATTGAGAAAAGTGAGGTCAAGGTCAAAGGAAAGGTCAAGGTGAAAAAATATTGATTCAGTTGAATAGCTTACATCAGTATGTATCAGCAGATGAAGTTTGACACTAATTTAAGAAAAGTGAGGTCAAGGTCAAAGGAAAGATCAAGGTCAAAAATTGTTGATGCAGTTGAAAAAGATACATCAGTATGTATTAGTATATGAAGTTTGATAAAAATATTATGAACGGTTTCTTTAAAACTGAGCTAAACATTAATTTAAGAAAAGAGAGGTCAAGGTCAAAGGAAAGGTCAAGGTCAAAAAATATTGATGCAGTTGAATAGCTCTCATCAGTGTGTATCAGCATATGAAGTTTGACACTAATTTAAGAAAAGTGAGGTCAAGGTCAAAAGAAAGGTCAAGGTCAAAAAATAATGATGCAGTTGAATAGCTTGCATCAGTATGCATCAACATATGAAGTTTGATAACACTATCTTAAATGGTATCTTTAAAACAGAGCTAAACACTAATTTAAGAAAAGTGAGGTCAAGGTCAAAAGAAAGGTCAAGGTCAAAAAATGTTGATGCAGTTGAATAGTTTGCATCAGTATGTATCAACATATGAAGTTTGATAACACTATCTTGAATGGTATCTTTAAAACAGAGCTAAACACTAATTTAAGAAAAGTGAGGTCAAGGTCAAAAGAAAGGTCAAGGTCAAAAAATGTTGATGCAGTTGAATAGCTTACATCAGTATGTATCAACATATGAAGTTTGATTACACTATCTTGAATGGTATCTTTAAAACTGAGCTAAACACTAATTTAAGAAAAGTGAGGTCAAGGTCAAAGGAAAGGTCAAGGTCAAAAAATGTTGATGCAGTTGCATACCTCTCATCAATATCTATCAGCATATGAAGTTTGATAAAAATATCTTGGATAGTTTCTTTGAAACTGAGCTTTGAACAGAGCTAAACGCAAAGTGTGACGGAAGGACGGAAGACGGACATGACAAACACTATATGCCCCGGCCATATTCATGGCGGGGCATAAAAGTCATGCCCTTACTTTGATCTGATTGGTGTGGTGAAGTTGCTGGACAGAAGTTTAGGTTGGACTCTCTTCTCCGGCTTCACTGGTGTACACACTGATGGGTCTAACAACATCTGCTTGGACAAGGCTGGCTTGACTACAGAATACATTGGCAAGTAAAAATTGTTAGAGTTTGCAGCAAATTTTTGTACATCTACATGAAGTTCACAAATTCTGTTGTATAATTTCTGTTCACAATATACACATTAAATTGAATAAGTTCTATTTTGTATAATAATCAAGTTGGCTAAACCAAAACTTGAATCCTTTATCTTTCAAAACACATAAATCCGATATTTCAAAGAATAACAAATGCTACCATAACCCTTTTCTATACCCTTTTCTTCCACTTTGTCTGGAATATTTGAAGTGTTTGGAAGAGCCTTAAGTGGACCTGTTTTACTCTTAGTCTCTGTAATCTGTGATTTTAATGCTGGCTTCTGGATGCCTCCAGGTTTCATCAAGGATAACCTGGTTGTCGGCCCCTTTTTGACTGGCCCATCCACATCCTTACTGTTCTCTTTCATGTTTGAAATACTAGATGATGTTGTATTGTTTGGAATCCCTGAAGTGTTTAACCCTAAAGACTTTCTGCTGCTGGGATTCAAACTCCTGCGTGATTTAGATGGAGGGACAATCTTTGACTTTTCCAATGAAGCAGTGGCTGTTTTTGTGGTGGAGTTGATGCTTGTTGACAGGTTTTCGTTTGATTTACTGGCAGCACCAGGAGGTTTTAACATAGAAGGTCTCTTCAAATTGGATTGTTTTGTGGAAGTCTTTTATAAAAGATATAAAAATGTGATAAAATATCATAAATGTACCTGGCATTTAGAATGTCATCCAAAAACTGGCATGCATTAACATTTATTTTCAACCATTACTTATTCAAATGTACAAATCTTGCTTAAATGTACCTATCCCTAAAGCCTGTAAAATCCAAAATTTTAGAACAGATAATGTAAAATAAAATTCTTACTACAATAATCTTTAGATATTGTAAGTCCTAACAAGTTGCAGTTTTGGTCTTGAGAACTAAACGTAATTTGAATAACTGCTATAAAACCAAAGAGTAGTTGAAGATAAATAAAATTATCTTGCCTTGTAGGAATAAAAGTCTTTCTAATTATATATATGTATTTTCTTTTACAAACCTTTGTTTTTGGTAAGCTACATTTGTTGACAGGAAGCCTGGAAACAGAATTCTCGCTTGTGTCTGATGTGACACTACATGTGTCGTCTGTATCACTGGCAGGCCCATCATAATTTTTGGAACTTCCAGTCTGTGTGAAAAAAATTAAAAAGAAATGCTCATGTTATCATGGTTATACTGTTTTTCTATTAATACCGTCATGATTTTACTCAAGGATTAGCTTAAATTTGTGTGTTTCAGTTTTGCGACCCACCACCTCCGAGCCCAAAATTGCTTTTACTCTAAATATGTTTTCCATTGAATTTTACATTGAAAACAAAATAATGATTATGCACTGCCACACTTTGACTGAATTTATTCTATATGTCAGGAATAATTTTCCAACCTCTTTACCATTCATCACATACCAGTCTGTATTTTTGAAAATGAAGAGATTAACAACATGAGCAAAATCAGAAAAAAGAAGAGAAATTACCTCCAATATTAAGACTAATTTTAAGCAACTCTCGACCTATCTTTGTGTACTGACTATACATTTCCCTTGATTATGCAGGTGAATATTCAATTAAGACAAAAATTATTTGATACATGTATAAATTAAAAAAAAAAGTAATAAAAATGGCATTAACCTTCTTTGCATTATTTGAGCAAGACAGCTTTGACTCAGAGAGTTTGTTGTTCTTAGGAGGGGCCAATCTATTAACATCCTCCACTTTCAAATTCTCCTTGTCCTCCCCAATTTTCTTTTGGAAAGGATCCTCGATTTCCAAGTCAATCACAGGCATGGCCTTAACAACATTCTCTGGAAGTCGAAAAATTGCCTCGGGGCTTTCTGTAAACGTGTCTTTCCTCTGGTGTCTCAATGGGGTATGTGCATCCCCATTTGGGACTCCTAACTTAGATTTACCTCCCCTTTCTTCCTCATCTGGCTTTTCCTTGTTAATTCTGTAAACCACCATCTGCGCCTCCTTGTAGATTTCTGCTATCTGGTGAGGTTTGAGGGGACTGAAGGGTTTCAGGGGCTCCTCAAGGGGTGCTATTTCAGATACAACTGTGGCCACACATTTTTCTGTGAATCCCACGGGTCCCAAGAATACTTCTTCGTCATCCTCTTCTTCTGGTCCTGGTGAAGTTATGCTCCTTAATGTCAAAAATCGAAAAATAAGCCAATGTAAATTTAATGAGTTATTTAATTTATATTTACTATACAAGAATTTTGGTAAATAATGTACTGTAGTAATATTTGATATAATATTTTGGTATGAATTTGTATGTATTTAAAGCACAGAGATGAAAGACTTTCAACTAAAATTTCACTAATCACCTACCTTACTCCTGGAGAGTAGGGAAGGTCAAAGTCAAACTGTTCATTCTCTAGCAGCTGAAATTCTATAGATAAAAAAAGACCATGTAGATAACATAGATAACAGAATGCTTATAAGTACACATAGAGTAAATACATGTATCTCTGCCAAACTTTTCTTGCCACAATTTACCCCCCCCCCCCCCCCCCATCCCATCACCTTAAACAATCACTGATCTATTTGTAAATGAAATATTTTGGTTCACTTCTGGTATGTTTTCAAAGCAAAAAAAAAAAAAACAAAACAAAACAAAACAAAAACAAAAAACAAACAATAAAAAAAGAATCATGATCAGAACTATACTATACATAGAAAGCACTGAAAGTCAGTGAGAGATTATTTCACACTATTTTGGGGTTGATAGTTCTAGACAACTTTAAAAGGAATAGCCTTTTTTTTCAATATTTAATGAATTTTGAGAATCATGGTGGGAAAAAAAGTCAAAAACAAAGAAACAGAGCAAAATTGTCCCCCCTCCCCCTCCCAATATTTAGTATGTGTATCTTACTTTCGAGAACTTGAAAATTTTAAACACAATAATAAAGATCTTTGGGATGAAGATAAGTACATTCAAGCCTTGTTATCTCAACGTCAGTTGGACAAGAATTGCAAGAAAAAGTTGAGATATCCTAGGATTCAATATACTGATCATGCTGAAGTTAAAATACAGAAAGAAAAATATGGCTGGGACTTCCAGCTCCAAGATATTCACAGTAATCCAGTAGGGATGTGCGATTTTATCGATATACCGGTATATCGTGATTTTTAATTGCGTGAAACATATCGTGATTTGGAGACTAAAATACCGGTATCTAGGTACATAATTATAAATTCCAGAAATTATTCATTTATTTGTTTAAACTTTCAAATTACAATTACAGGAAGTGAAAAAAATGTTGAAAAAGGTAAAAGAACAGCATCTTAGCATCCAAACAAGCTTTATATAATGTAAATTAAAACATAGGTAATCAGAGATTACAGAGCTCACCTCAACGAATGTTGTCTTTAAGTAAGGCAAAGTCCCACACTAAACTAATAATCTAGGAGTGTGCATCCCTAGATGCAACATTTATGCAATTTTGGTCTGATAGGGCTTGCAGTTACTTGGGAATGGACTTATCTGAAAACTTGAAACTAGTCACTCATTCAGAAAATGTAAGTCAAATCCAGCATCCGAAGCAAGTTTTGAGATTGTTCGTCCCTTGATGCATCATCCATGCAAGTTTGGTTCAGATAGGCCTTATAGTTACTTGGAAATGAGATCTGCTCCAAAAACTTTAATCTGGTCACTCATCCGGAAAATATAGGTCAGATTCAGCATCTGAAGCAAGTTCAGTAGTGTGCATCCTTAAATGTATCATCCATGCAAGTTTGGTCAATATAGGGCTTTTAGTTACTTGGAAATGGGATCTGCTCCAAAAACTTTAACCTGGTCACTCATCCGGAAAATATAGGTCAGATCCAGCATCCGAAGCAAGTCCAGTGGTGTGCATCCTTAAATGTATCATCCATGCAAGTTTGGTCAATATAGGGCTTTTAGTTACTTGGAAATGAGATCTGCTCCAAAAACTTTAACCTGGTCACTCATCCGGAAGTTATAGGTCAGATTCAGCATCCGAAGCAAGTCAAGTAGTGTGCATCCTTAGATGTATCATCCATGCAAGTTTGGTCAATATAGGGCTTATAGTTACTTGGAAATGAGATCTACTCAAAAAACCTTAACCTAGTCACTCATCCGGAAAATGTAGGTCAGATCCAGCATCCGAAGCAAGTTCAGTAGTGTGCATCCTTAGATGTATCATCCTTGCAAGTTTGGTCAATATAGGGTTTATAGTTACTTGGAAATGACATCTGCTCCAAAAACTTTAACCTGGTCACTCATCCAGAAAATATAGGTCAGATTCAGCATCCGAAGCAAGTTCAGTAGTGTGCATCCTTAAATGTATCATCCATGCAAGTTTGGTCAATATAGGGCTTTTAGTTACTTGGAAATGGGATCTGCTCCAAAAACTTTAACCTGGTCACTCATCCGGAAAATATAGGTCAGATCCAGCATCCGAAGCAAGTCCAGTAGTGTGCATCCTTAGATGTATCATCCATGCAAGTTTGGTCAATATAGGGCTTTTAGTTACTTGGAAATGAGATCTGCTCTAAAAACTTTAACCTGGTCACTCATCCGGAAGTTATAGGTCAGATCCAGCATCCGAAGCAAGTCAAGTAGTGTGCATCCTTAGATGTATCATCCATGCAAGTTTGGTCAATATAGGGCTTATAGTTACTTGGAAATGAGATCTACTCCAAAAACCTTAACCTAGTCACTCATCCGGAAAATGTAGGTCAGATCCAGCATCCGAAGCAAGTTCAGTAGTGTGCATCCTTAGATGTATCATCCATGCAAGTTTGGTCAATATAGGGCTTTTAGTTACTTGGAAATGGGATCTGCTCCAAAAACTTTAACCTGGTCACTCATCCGGAAAATATAGGTCAGATCCAGCATCCGAAGCAAGTCCAGTAGTGTGCATCCTTAAATGTATCATCCATGCAAGTTTGGTCAATATAGGGCTTTAAGTTACTTGGAAATGAGATCTGCTCCAAAAACTTTAACCTGGTCACTCATCCGGAAGTTATAGGTCAGATTCAGCATCCGAAGCAAGTCAAGTAGTGTGCATCCTTAGATGTATCATCCATGCAAGTTTGGTCAATATAGGGCTTATAGTTACTTGGAAATGAGATCTACTCAAAAAACCTTAACCTAGTCACTCATCCGGAAAATGTAGGTCAGATCCAGCATCCGAAGCAAGTTCAGTAGTGTGCATCCTTAGATGTATCATCCTTGCAAGTTTGGTCAATATAGGGTTTATAGTTACTTGAAAATGACATCTGCTCCAAAAACTTTAACCTGGTCACTCATCCAGAAAATATAGGTCAGATTCAGCATCCGAAGCAAGTTCAGTAGTGTGCATCCTTAAATGTATCATCCATGCAAGTTTGGTCAATATAGGGCTTTTAGTTACTTGGAAATGGGATCTGCTCCAAAAACTTTAACCTGGTCACTCATCCGGAAAATATAGGTCAGATCCAGCATCCGAAGCAAGTCCAGTAGTGTGCATCCTTAGATGTATCATCCATGCAAGTTTGGTCAATATAGGGCTTTTAGTTACTTGGAAATGAGATCTGCTCTAAAAACTTTAACCTGGTCACTCATCCGGAAGTTATAGGTCAGATCCAGCATCCGAAGCAAGTCAAGTAGTGTGCATCCTTAGATGTATCATCCATGCAAGTTTGGTCAATATAGGGCTTATAGTTACTTGGAAATGAGATCTACTCCAAAAACCTTAACCTAGTCACTCATCCGGAAAATGTAGGTCAGATCCAGCATCCGAAGCAAGTTCAGTAGTGTGCATCCTTAGATGTATCATCCATGCAAGTTTGGTCAATATAGGGCTTTTAGTTACTTGGAAATGGGATCTGCTCCAAAAACTTTAACCTGGTCACTCATCCGGAAAATATAGGTCAGATCCAGCATCCGAAGCAAGTCCAGTAGTGTGCATCCTTAAATGTATCATCCATGCAAGTTTGGTCAATATAGGGCTTTTAGTTACTTGGAAATGAGATCTGCTCCAAAAACTTTAACCTGGTCACTCATCCGGAAGTTATAGGTCAGATCCAGCATCCGAAGCAAGTCAAGTAGTGTGCATCCTTAGATGTATCATCCATGCAAGTTTGGTCAATATAGGGCTTATAGTTACTTGGAAATGAGATCTACTCAAAAAACCTTAACCTAGTCACTCATCCGGAAAATGTAGGTCAGATCCAGCATCCGAAGCAAGTTCAGTAGTGTGCATCCTTAGATGTATCACCCATGCAAGTTTGGTCAATATAGGGCTTATAGTTACATGGAAATGAGACCTGCTCCAAAAACTTTAACCTGCTCCAAAAACATTAACCTGGTCATTCTTTAGCTGAAATTGCAGCATCTGAAACCTTGACTGGTACAATGAAACACACTAGAAGCATCCTCCATGCATCTCTGACTAATATAGGCCATAGAAGTACTTGAAAAGAAAACTGCTCCAAAAACCTTAACCTGGGACGCCGACACCGACACCGACGCCGAGAGTATTACATAAGCTCCCCCAACTTCGTTGAGGTGAGCTAAAAAATGAAAAAGTGAAGTTATGTTTTTCCGGCATTTTTTTTAGGAAACATTATGAATTTTCATTTATAATCATTGAAAATTTGCTTGTAAAAATATCATGATATTATCGTGATATTTGAGGAAAAAATTGTGATATATCGCGATACGAAACTTTTTGGCAATACCCATCCCTATAATCCAGATATCAAAAATGTATAATAACAACTGATACATTGATGTCACATGTAAATATACCTGGTGTAACATGTTTTACTTTATCACTGCTACAGTCTATCTCAGATGTGATGTCGTCCAGATCCTGTAGTAGATTGCCTCTATCAATGGTATAGCTGCCTCTTCTGTCTGCACTTCTCTCTATTTCTATAGAGTCTGAAAAATTAAAGTGTTCAGCATCATCTAAATCATAAAATGACAGAGATGAAAAGAAAGAAAGTGTATGAAACTCCTGTCATAAAACACACACCAGATGTGTAATTTTCAGGAAGGCTAACAAATTTCATTTACATGAATCTTGTGATTTCTTTTATTGAAAAAAAGGATTCAGGATTTGAGTTTGTATTCTGTGGAGGGGTGTACTAATTTGGACTTTTCAAGTTCCATTCAAAATATCATAGACAGGGAACATAACAAGGAATTATTTCTTTTTAATAGTACGGTCAAACTTCATTATCTTGAACTCGATGGGGCCAACAGAAAACTTCAAGATATCTGAGGATTCGAGATATCAAGGTTAAAATACATAATTAAAGAAAAAGTAGTTCGGAAATCCAACTCACTTTGACATATCCATGGTAATCCAGATGTCGGTGTTCAAGATACAGAAGTTTTATTAGCTGTTTAAAGTTCTCATATTCCATTGTGTGAGATGAATAACTTACATAAAGACCAAGTCAAGTACCAGAGCAAAATGTTATGAACAGGAGATATAAATGCATGTTGTCTTTTACATGGAAATTAAGAAAATACCTGTGTTACAATGTTAATTTTTTCATTTTTAAATTCAGAAATTTCTAGGACCTTCTATTGCAAAAAATCTCACAATATATAAATTCCTGTCCTTTGTTAGGAAAATCTCCCTCACTTTGACTCAATAAATCAGGTTTCTTCAGTCTGTATGATAACTTAAGAAACAATGATTCTTAATGTAGCAGATTAGCCCTGTCAGAATACTCACCAACTAATGAGTTGTGACTGCCTCCTGACTTTCTCACAGTTTCCGATTCAGGACTCTTGTTCTTAGTTTCTAGTTGGGAGGGACTTTTACTCTGGATTGGCTTAGGTGGGCTGTTTTCTATGGGTTCACTCAGATCAATTAAAATTCCACAAGCTAAAAACACAGTACAAAGGAAAACATAGCTTCATGTGAATAGAAAGACTCGTCTGATTGATTTACCTTATCAATCCATACATTTTACACTCTAGAGATGTCTATTCATTCTTATATTAACTATAGCTCTTTGAAAGAACAAAATTTCACCAGCTGTAATTGCACATTATTATTTGATATCTTCCTATAGTTGCATGCATTTAGAAATTTCCCTAATGAAAAAATCAGTAGTAAAGTTTTTTTGTTTTACCATCCAATAATCAGTTAATATAAATTTGGAAAAGTTTTATTATAAGAATTCAACAGACATGAAAAATTGTCTGAGAGGAACAATTTACCATGAATTATTTGTTCAAAATTTACCTTCCATAACTTGCTGAGTGTATCCAGATAATTGTAGTCAAACACATCAAATTGCAAATACTTCAATAGCAATGGAAAAAATCTTTGCTTCAGTTTCTCTTTGCAAACTATGAAAGAAAAGGAAACGTGAGGAATTCTATCACAGTATTCATAGTAATGGGGTGCATGCAAGCCATGATTCATGAGGTCTTCATTAATAAACAGAGAGAGAGAGAGAGAGGGGGGGGGATTTTCCTCTAAGGAAAAAATACTGAAAAACACTAGTAAATTTTATGTACATTAATCCTTGCTTTGAACTTTTGTTTGTTTGGTTCATGTCCCTTTAAAAATATTATACTGATGTTTGGACACTACAACTGCCAGTAGATGGCTGCAGATTTCATGGATTTAGACCTTACCCGGCACTTATGGCCATTGGGCAGCTAAGGATATTTTTTGTACAAGCACTTACTTAGGTGTATACTGTCTCATTCCAAGGACCTGTCAATGTGAGACCAGGCCCCAGGTTCATGAAGCAGTCTTAGGCTTAAGTTAAAATTTGTCAAATGTCTTTAATTTTAACAATAGAAACCACATGAAATTTGAAGTGCTATTAAAGCTTGTTTCCCTTTCATCATGTTCAAGCTGTTAATTTTAATTTCCAAGAATAGGTTTCTAATAAATATTCATTTTCTGAATGAATAAAATTTTGACTTAAATCTTAGACTGCTTCATGATCCTGAGGCCTGAACTATTAGAATTAGGATCAACTCTTTACAACTCCAGAACGAAGCGAAACCTTAGCTCTAACTACTATGCCACAGGGACAACCCGAGACAGTGATATAGAGAAGTTAAATTATAATTCAACTGAAAAGTTGGTACTGGGGATTTCAAAGTTGCATTTGCAAACTTAACTCTTCCCCACAAATTTCCATATGTGAAAAGCCAGGGATATCATTACCTACATTCATCAGTCTGAGTCATTCTCATGAATGCATATTGCAGGTATAGATGCCTATTTTCTTTATAGGGCATTAAGTAGTCTAGAATCAAGCCCAATTACTTCCAGAATTTTTAGCCATATCAAATGTTCATAGGTGGAAACTTAATCACGAGAATCTCCTCTTGCTTTTAATAATAATAATATTCCTCGTCTTGAATAACGGATAACGTGTATAACGTTAACACTCTGAACATATCAAAGTGTCTAAATAAAAACATGCATTGTATCTGAGTAAATAATGTTAATTACTAAATTAATTACTTTCACATTAATATAGAATATAAATTCAACATTACTTATTTATTTTGTTCGAATTTCCCACTTCGCATGGACGTCTTTTCAAATGTTGGCAGATATGTAACACGCTTTTTTATTGGTTATTTCAAGACACATTTTACGACAATTAATTCTACTTTCATGTATCTTTTACCTTTAAAGTAGAAAACAGTACATGAAAAATAAATTCTTGTTTTATATATATTTCAGAAATTATTTTTTTTTTATATGCAGACAGACTCAATGTCGTAAATTCGCAAACCGGTCTGACCACAAAAATGGCGATCGAGATAGAAGAACCAACTTTATTTGAAAACATTCTGCATTATGGCTTATTTGTTGGAGCGATTTTCCAAATAATTTGTATTCTAGCTGTTATTTTTATACCAAAGAGCGAATCTGAAATGGTAAATTAAATAAATAGTTGAAAGTTACAAAGATCTACAAATTTTAACCAGTACACAGGGTCTTGCTCCCGGCGTGTAAAAGTATTTATTTAAAAAAATCAAATATATACCAACTCACACTCTATCATCGGCTCATACATTCACCTCTGCTGTTGGCTTGCGTATCACAGTGATAAGCACGAGAAATAGTGCGTTTATTTTAATTCATTAAAATTAGATGCCCGTGATGTTGAGCAGGGCTCTTCAAAGAGTTTTTTTTGCTCAGGCATGTCCATTAAGGTAGACATTTACTAATTAATTCTAGAACTAATATGTTTCATGGATTGAGATAACTCTTACGGATGTGAAATTCGTGTATTGCAGAGGTGTCATGTCTGAGAGAATAACGAACAACAATTCTGCATAGGAGATTGATACCAACTGTGTTGCTTTAGTAGTTGGCATATAGATATAATTATTTGTGAATAAATATTTTTTACACTCCGGGATGAAGCCCCTGTGAACAGGGGTTCAGCTTTAACCATGTCAACACTGGTTAATGTAATAAAATGGATAAGTTGCTTCGCATCATAATTTTGAAACTAATCCAATATCATTTTTCCTAGCTAACTATTGTTAAACAATTGAATTGCAGACATGTATCACAAAACAGGAATTAACAACATTATTAAAAATCTGGTTATGCAATATTTTACCTGATATTTCCCAAGAGATGTCAAAACTTTTGAAGTCACACTTTAAATTGCATAAATATTACAAATATATCCATAATTCATAAAAAAAGTCTTCAATTTTTCGTGGTAAACTAATCAATAGAAAAGACAAGAACAAAATGAACAATCCTCATATTGAGCTAACTTCTTTATGTCTTTAAACTGTACATATACTTTGATTACAAAAAAATATTCTCAGTTTGAAATTGAGGCATTGTTAAGTATGATCAAACCTTTGAGTAATCATTAAAAATCTTAATTGTTCTTGACTGGCTTCTATGATATTTTTCAGTCCAGGATTAACCATTGATAAACAAAATTTATTGATAATCAATGATATATCTTAATTAAGTTAATAGCACTTTAAAGGAATATATGGATTTTAATCTCTTGCCACTGAATAAAAAAAATGATATAATTCTATTCAATTTAGTATATTCTCTCAAAACAATGTGAATGGTACATGAGTTACATAAACATATAAAACAGTATATACATATAATACAGGGGGTCAAGCAAAAGATGAGATCAATTAAGCTAGCTAAGGAGAACAGACCATACTATTAATATTTACTTCAAATTTCTGTTATTACATTTACTTAAAAAATAATAATAATTAAAAAAAAAAAAAAACTAAATCAAATTTCTGATATAACATTTACTTGTCAGAAATAAAACATTAACTAAATGATCTCTCAAAAATGTCATGTATTTGTTTTTAGTGTGTTTTATAAAGTATAGCTGTAGATTCAACTATTTGGAATAAGTGTATAATACTTTATTTTACCCAACAGTCAGTTTTAGTGTATCACTATTATTACGCATTGATAGGATACTGAGGAGGAAGTGAAGCAGCCAACTCAGTCAGGAACCCCAAGTCAATACAACAGACCAAAACCTAAGAAAGAGAAGAAAAAGAACCGATAAAACAGTTACAGCTGGGATCACAGTATGTCTTACTATAATTTCAGTATATCTTTTACACCATTTAGGGAGAAGAACTTTTTGCATACCAGAAGGGAATTTTATCACTAGTCTAGAATCAAATGATGAATTTCTTATGTAATAGAGAATTTAAAATGAAATTCAAGCAAATTAATTATACCAATTTCAAAAAAAAATGGTTGATGATATTCTTTTAAAGGAAACATATTGATTTATCAGATTTATCAGTTATTTCTCCTTTCTCCAATTTTCTTTTTTTTGGGGGGGGGGATCAAAAAGTGTGATGAAGGTGGGGGGTTAATTTAATGAATACACTAGATACAGAAAACTCCAAACTATAATATGCTTATTTGTAAATTTCTCTTTATCATATTTATTCCCTTACCACAGATTTAGCAAACCCTTTCTCCTCTTCAAACATATTACAGATCTTGATACATGCAAGTACACAGTATAATGACTGTAAGAAATTGCAAAGGATAAGATACATGTTTAATGGTCCCAGTCATGTTAATATCTTATTGCTTTCACTGAATTCAGAATATTTTCATTTTATATTTATAACACCACACCATATTTCATTAAAATGATTTTTCTCTTTCGTTTCAGTGTATACATATCTTCCACTGAGCGGCAGTACATGTAGTATTTCATCAGGAGATAGAGTGCTGGTTGTGACACATTGGAAAAATGACCAAAATAATATTCTGCAATATTAAAGCTTATATTTAGTGTGATATTCATGCCATTCCATGCATAATTATTTCATGTCATACATTGACTCATTTTGCAAGAAGCACACTGTCCTGATCTCATCTAATGATCTTAATTGATATCTTTTACTCCAGTTTTCAATGGGACATTCTCAAAGCCTTATATCAAACAGTTTTATAAATCTGTTAATCTAAAAGCATTTTCATGATTATGTGCAATTTTTCATATGAATGTGATACAATGCATATAAACCACTTTTTGTATGCATTCAATTTCCAGCTGTCCTTTTCAAAAGTTCATAAGTAAAGTCAGTCAGAGGTGCTTTTTGATATCATTTTTAATGTCATTCATAATGGTTTAGATTTCCTTTCATTACATGAATTATATTTTTCACTTAACATTTTTTTTGTGAACATAAGAGAAAGTGCTATAAACAGTTTTTATGTTTTAATGCTGGTTTAGAATGCTTGTAGACTGTAGTTTTGTTTGTTAATGATTTGGATCTGATTTCATATATTTCTGTTCTTTGATAGATAGAAATATTGACTAAATAAACTGGATTATATTTTGATTTTGTGGTTATTTCCTGAATTACAAAATGGATGAGTTGAAAAGAATTTGATCCAGGTTGTAGACTCCTGAGTCAGAAGGCATTTAAATGCTCTCTCTCTCTCTCTCTCTCTCTCTCTCTCTCTCCGCATACACATTGAAAGGAAAATATGGAGGTAAAGAATGAATCTCTCTCTCTGGCAATTAAGAATGCAAGAAATAATTGAAAATCGATGCATGCATTATTGCTCTCACTAAAACATTTGATGCACCCATCAATTCATTTAATGACTTCATCTATGTGGTGAAATTGATTTAGAGATTGGTATATAAATGAATTGCTGATCTCTTTAAATTAGTTGAAGAGAGCAATAACTCTATTCATTGCATGCATAAATTGAATTTTTGCACTCTTCAGTTGATAAAATAAATGTTATCAACAAGTAAAGTAATGAGTGAAATGATTTAGGATTGAATTTACAGTGTATAATTAATTATTTGAAGAGATTTTTCGTTGAATTGTTGGCACATTAAATGAATTAGGATATCTTCAAATATTTTTTTTAAAAAAAGAAGAAATCTTCAGTTATTAATTTAGTTAATATTAATTCTGTGCTCCGAAGTGAATCCCTTATTGTCCTGATTAAGAGAGATGTCTAATTATTTAAGTTCCGTCATTTTGTAGAAAATGAAGTATAACTTAAATTAATTTTATTCTTGGATATATCAGAAGGACAGACTGCATGTCGGATTATACATGTAAAAAGCAATGGAACTTGTGATAAAGTAGTGAAAGTTTGTTCGCAAGGATCCGAGTTTTTATACAATTGTGCAAGTCTAAGTTAAACGCTTATCTCTACCTGCTCTGGATACACACAGTCAGTGGACTTAAATAAAGCATCAATTTAAATAAAATCAAAGATACGTGTATCTTTAATTATTTGACAATATCATGAACTCAACTAATACTGGCAGTAATGGAATTGCTACAACCTTACATCAATTATTGTATATCATTTAAACGTTTGAATTGATGAGATCAGCAGTTGATTCGATAAGCTTATTGTTACAACACAAAATATAATAACAATGCAAAATGTAATATACAGATATTATCACCTTTTGCGATATAACATTTTCGCATCGAGATCAACGCAGAATGTAATAACCAAAATGTAATTCTTTACTTTTGGGACTTATTAGATTTTGCGTTATTACATTTTGCTTCAAGGTCGACGCAGAATGTAATAACGCAAAATGTTAAAAAAAAAATAAATAAATATATAAATAAATAAAAAAAGTACTTTTTTGAAATATTAACTTTTGAATTACATTTCCGGATGTTTCAAGAATTTGTCAATATGTAAACATATATATGAAAATATATTCACATTACGTGTTCTTAACATTCTGTGTCGAAATACACAAATTTTATGAACGCCAGTGGAAATAATTACGTGTGTTACTGGAGGTAAAAAATTGTGGAGAAACAATTTCCCGAGGCGCAGCATGTTAAAGAATTCACAATGAAATTTAACATAAAAGCTTGACCTATAAATTATATAGGTAAAATTAAATCACATTCGATTGTATAAAACTATTTTGAGGTATACGAACAATGATTCAAAACGAGAAAATTTCCAAGTGCCTTAGAACATCAAAAGAAACATACTAGCAATCTAAACATTGCTATTTTTTACCAAAATATAATTCATCTGCACCGATATATATTTATACCGCAATATGGCGATTTTAGTGGTATTGTGCATTGAAAAAATAAACTTTGTAATAATTCCTAGACCAACCTAGATGGTCAATTTTTTTCAAATTTCACAATTTGGTGACTTTTTACAATAACTTTCATATACTTGGCTGAAAAAGAAATATCGGACCAACATTGGGCCGATGAGCAAACTTACATTGGCCCAATGTAACTGATGACGTTGGTCCAATGTTAGTTTGCTATCTGGGAAGTTTTTTTTCTTCTGTAAAATGGGATCCAGGTGAAGATTCAAATATTACTAGACTTTCTGTCAGAATATAGAGGAAAATATTATGACCCTTTACATTAATTATATCCATGCATGTAATCTCCTCGGTTTGGAATTTTGCAATCAATATTTGGTGTTTAAAGATTAACGCAACCAAGCATGAACATGTTATTGAGGCCTTAAATCGAAAGTAGAATTAAATTTTCAATCCATGCGAGCATATATGGGTATAAACTTTCGAAAACATGCACACGTATACATGGTTTGGGATTTAATTTTTCAAGATTAGTTCTGTTAAAGTCTGTCAGATACACTGATTGTTCTTTGTTCTAAGGTAATACCCAGATAGCAAGCTTACGTTGGGCCAACGCAAGCCCAACGGTGAAAATTGCGTTGGCCCTCTGTCAGTTTTATGCGTTGGCCCAACATCATCTTGCTCATCGACCCTACGTTCAACCAACATGTTGGCTCGACGTTGGGCCAACATTCGATGGTTGGTTATCTGGCATTGGCCCAACAATGACCCAACGTTTAACTTCCTGTTGGCCCAATGTTGGTTCAATGTTTTTTTAAAGCTAAGAATGAATGTTGGACCAACGTTGGCCCTACGTTCTATAAACATGTTGGCAAATGATCGGCGATTGAATTATTTTAGTTCAACAATATGAATTCCCGTAACCTTTTTATTTCCATAATTACGAGTAAAACACAATTGATTGAATAAATCCTGCATGATAAATTATCTTGTTCCTCAAACAAATGTTCTATTTTTTTGTCACTCCTATGGAATGAAATCAACAGAGGGAAATAAAGTAGTTTAATGTTTTCTTAAGTCTATCCCATATCACTTCAGTCACTATATAATATTCCTCTAGAATAAGAGTCCCAGTGTTCAAATTTGTGAAACTTTGGAATGTTCTCCTGCCCATATTACTTCTGAACCACTCACTCCTTTTTCCTGTTCATGTTATTGTTTCTTTGTCTGTAAAATCCATGTCTCTCACACTGATAATTAAGATAAATCACTCACTGTCCATTACATTCCAAACATCAATGGTCTTGTAACACAAAGGGTTTTCTCCCCACCAGATGCTATAAATGATATGAAAATATATCGGTTTAATCCGTTCAAAAATGATGTCACTTACTACTTATAAGTTATAACTTAAAGAGATTACTAGTAAATATACATGCATATTTTGAAAATTGCAATTCTTGAATAACTTGTTCAATTTTACAAACTATGCTCAAGTTAAAACTTTCACAGAGATAAAATTCTATCAATCACACCTAAAACGACTATACTTACATTTCAAGGGCTAAAACAATCCATTTTCTCTCTCGTGCGATTCAAAACGGACACGCACATGTATATGCTTTGTTCAAGTGTTGCAAGTGATCAAATGTGACCACTCCGAGTTTACGAAACAGAGCTGATTAGGATGCCTGTTTCCTAGGAAACCGGCCAGTTACCTGCTGAGCCAGTGGATTTCACCACTGACCTAATTATTTGGAGCTCTAAAATTCAGCACTTTAAGTTCCATGATGCTAAATATAGAATCTACAAAATTATATACTGTGCAGAATAATTAAAACTTCTACATGTATTTGCAATGGTCTCGGACACAAATTACAAACATAAATCAGTATTAAAAATCTTATTTTCATAAATTAGGTTCTGGAATAATTTTTTCATTTTTATTAACACATACACTGTAAATTATTGATAAATGGGCTATTAAGATAATCCATTGTTCATAATATTTTAATGAAAAATGAGATGTCTCTATTGAAAGAAGCTTAATTGGTTCTAAAAGATACAAACTTAATATGTGTAATTAACAGATTAACAACATGTATGTTAATGAAAGTTGATTTTATCCCAATATTCACTCCGTTGAACCAACGCTTGCATGGCCAACGTTGAAAGCCATATCAATACATCATTATAATCAAAATTTACTACGTTGGGCCAACTTTGGACCAACATTACATGCCCAACACACATTTCATGTGTTTCATGCCAACATTACTTGGTTGGCCCTATGTTGGGCCAACATTACATCCCAACACACAGTTGCTTTGTTTTAAGCCAACATCTACTTGGTTGGACCTACGTTGGGCCAACATCAAATACCCAACATATAATGGACATGTTTCATGCCAACATTTACTACAATGGACCAACATTGGCCCAACATCGCATACCCAACACCGATGGACCAGCTTTCACGCCAACATAACATCCGTTGGGCCAATGTTGGGCCAACATTCACCGCCCAACGCCAACACTATACCAACCTACCAACCATCAACCAACGTTGGCCCGATGTAGTCTTGCTATCTGGGTATGTCTTGGAATATGAAGGATTGTCTTGTTGCAGTTGGTGTTGCGTTTGTTGCAGGCTTTTTCTATCTACAGGAAAAAAGAATTAATGATTTATATTTAGAATTTCGACATGAAGTGAATTCCATAAAACTTGCACACAAAGACGAAATCCTTGCGTTACATTTGAAGATGTTTGATTATTCAGAAAAAGGAAAAGCCCACCATATGTTTTTAAATATGGAAAAGAACCTGGAAAAAAGAATGAAAGCGGCAGAGGAAACTCTAACTAACAGTACCAGAGAGGTTTTGGATCAGATTGGTATAAACACATTAAATTTGATTCTGGCAAAAATATCTAAGTACATGTACTTCCTCGTCATAGCGACTGATTTGGAGAGATTCTTGTGGTGCAAATTATAAAATGTAGAATTAAAAAAAACCCAACATATTCTATCCTTTTAATACTGGAGCTGCTATAATCACTCTGAATATCATGTGTGTTAAATTTACAAGCTAGATTGATTTATAGTTTATTTTTAAAATAATTTTTTAGCATGATTTACTTGGAAATGTTTGCAACAATTACTCAAGGTCCAATTTAGATATAAATACATTTTAAAGAAATTAATTTAATGACAAGGAAAATCAAGCAAAACCCATACGTTTACGATCAGATATCCACATAAAAACGTCTTGCTATTGCTCTGGACAGGGCACCAACAGCTGCAGGTTACAATGTGGAAAGAAATTATTTATCTAGATGAAATATGTGGAGATAACGAACAGTATTCGAGCTCAAAAGTCCATTAAACATTACAAAATAGGAGCAGAGCAAACACGGACCTCTAAGACATCCGAGGTGGGATCAGGTGCATGTCATGGAGGAGTGAGCATCCCCTGCCGACCGGTAACACCCGCCGTGTGCTCCTTTTTGCTATTCTAGCTAGTTATATATAGAAGTTTTTTCTCATATTTAAGCATTTGATACTGATGCCATTGCACAAGCTTCCTGTGCTGGTACTGCACCTGAAGGTCACTTTGTAGCTGCTATTCGAAGAGATTGTGGTGAGAACAAATTATCTTGTGATACAATATGTAACAGTGGAACTACCAGCATGAGAAATATCTATGGGAATCAGGGATCTGTAAAGTAAGTAATTTAATTGTAGTTCCAGTTCTTTGAATTAAATCATTTGCAGTTTTAAAAATAAAGAACTTTAATTTCAAAATACAAGAGTAAAACATTTTTTTTATATATTCAATTGTCAATTTTTAGATACATAGATTGCGCCTTTGTTAACTTCTCTCTCTCTCTCAGAAAATGAATTGATGAAAGATACAGACTTGTACATTCAGTATGCCCTTGAGGCCCATTGAATGATTATAATTATGTACTCTGCACTGTGACATAGGTGTACATACATGCAAATAGTTATCATGCTATATATTGTTGGAATGTTACGTTTACAAGGGACTAATATTTTTGATGCATGTTGTCTTTTTAGAGAGAAAAAACGCGGAATATGTAAATATGAAACATCAAATTCTACAGTAGGCATATGTACAAGCATACTAATTTATTCATTCAATTTTCTCATAGGGCTGCCTGCTTTGGATCATATCATATATACCAAAAACGCATAGCTCTGAAACCTGAGGACAAAGGCAGAGCAGGGATGGCAATGCACAAATATAAAAATGGATGTTCGCAAACAGGTTGTGGCCCTAACTACTGTTGCTGTCGAGCATAATGATGTTGTGAAAGTATTTACAGACAATGAATTTCGTCTTTTCAGATATTATTAACTTTATATCCTATTCACTTCCTACAGCCATATGCATGTATCATGACCATTTCCCTCGGGATCTTCTTTATGCAATGTTCCTTTCTCAGGCAAATTGGATATGTAAAATTATGTTTGTACAATCTATTTCAAGTAAAAATCTCGATATATAACATGCATTTTCTAAGCACCAAAAACTCTTGGGAACGGCACGATTTGGATATGAAATTTGGACCAAATGGTGTCTTGGCAAGAAATTACCAAATATGGTGTCAGATGTTCCACACGTGCACCCAGTTGCCATGGAGACGGATCCATTGAATTTGGCCATTTTTGACTAAATGAAAACATGAAAATTGAGGAACTGTAAATGCATTTTTATCTATATGTAATACACTCAAACATGAATCATTGTATCATAAGATAATATGAACGTTTAAGATATACTGGACATATAATCATTTTTTTTCTAGAAATATTCCCGCTGTAGGAAAAAAGTCGTGGAAAATGACAGGGTTTCTGAAATCTTAAAAATGGAAAATCTAGTATTTTTTTGAGATATTTAAGGCTAAATAAAAAAAAAAAATTATCTACGAAAAATTTCCAAAATTTAATCTTATTTGTGTTTTCATTCTTCAGGATCAGTAGTCTCATCTCATGAAAAAATCTCAGTGGGATCTCAAGACCATTTTTAGTAATATATATCTATAAATAGATATGTTTTAGAAAATGTAAAACTTGACATTTTGGCAGAGGATTAGAGGCCATTGCTGGGTAATTAGGAAATATATTTTTAAAGCCATTATGTTAATGACAGGAGCTGGACATCATTATTTGTCATGCGCCATATTTGAAGGGGGTTCCCATTTCTATTTATAGTATCGAACTTCTAAAAATAGATACATCTCAGGATATGAGGAAAAATGACATTTTTCTATCATTTAGAAGATTCATAGAAAAAAAAGTATTTACAAATATTCTACTTTCCACAATATGTCACCAACAAGAACAAGTAGGCGTGAATAATTCAAACAATACTGATGATGGGCTCTCATTTCTTTTTATAGCAACAATTGTCTAAATATGGGAATATCGAAAATTATCGGGGAATTGTAAATCTTGCACTCTTTCAGACATTACCGATGGAAAATTTGCAGACTTATTGTTATAAACATAATGTGGCTGACAAGTACTAGTCAAAATTAACTGAGATGCAGAATAATCAGTGGAGGTTTCCATTTCTATTTAAAGTAACATATACCCAAAAATAGATAGGTCTCTGGATATGAGGAAAAATGGCAATTTTCCACCAATCAGTACCTTAATAGAAAATAGATTTACTGCTCTCCACAGTATGTTATCAACAAGAACATGTGGTCATACAACACCACAAATTAATGGGTGATGGGGGGGGGGGGGGGCTCTCAATCTTTTTTTTTACAGCAACAATTGTCTAAACAAGATGCCCATGGGTCACAACGTTCATCTGGGTCAATATGGCCTTGCCATTCTTGATCAGCAGATTTTTTTCTTCTATATATTTATATGTAAAAGTTTGACCCCCTTTTGAAACTCCACTCTACCCCAATCTATCATGATTTGAACAAACATGAATTAACACTATGTAATGAAGGTTTCGCGTAAGTTTTCACTTTTCTGACACCAAATTTTCACAAAGTTGAATCCCCTTCATCCAATGATGCTATGTGGCAAGTTTGGTTCAACTGGCTCAGTGGTTCTGGAGAAGAAGTCGAAAATGTGAAAAGACAGACAGACGCCAGACAAAATGTGATCAGAAAAGCTCATTTGAGCTTTAAGCTCAGGTGAGCTGAAAATAGACATTGCAAATTATTAAAAAAAAACATGCAGATGCTCGCACTATTTGAAACATTGCAGATGGAAAATTCGCAAACTGTTATAAACATGCATAATGTGATTGACAAATACTAGTATCTATTAGCTCAACTGCACAATAATCAATGAGGGTCTCCATTTCTATTCATAGCAACTAACACCCGAAATCAAATATCTTTTAGCATTTGGGGGAAAATGATAATTTTCAACCAAAACGAAGCTTTGTAGAAAAATTAGTTGCAAATGTACTGCTCCTTAACAAGAATAAGTGGTTATACATTCAACACACAATGATAGGAATGAACTCTCCTTTTTTTTTTTTAAAGTTACACTTGTCTTAAACTACATGCAAATACAGAAACAAACTAAAATGTATATATGGCCTAATGTGAAATCACTTATTTTTCATGTAGATTTAATTTTCGTTCATTTAGTGGGTTGAAGAGACCCACATATTTGTCCCGTACGAAATGTTAAAATTCTATACAAAAGTAAAAATTCTATCCTTCACCCACGAAATCAAATCCCTGATTCGATATATCCTAGTGAACTTGAAATAAAAGACACCATAGAGTCTGACATACCTGTTTCATATGCGGATGTTTTACTAGAAAAAGACATTAATGGTATCCTAACACGAAAACTTTATGATAAACGTGATTTCAACTTTTCTATCGTCAACTTCCCTTACTTATGTAGCAATATACCCTTATTACCTGCATATGGGGTTTGTCTCCCAATTGATTCGATACGCAAGAGCATGTTCTACGTACGGTCAATTTTTAAAACTAAGCAAGACACTTACATGTACCAACAAGTTGATGAAACAAGGATACCAACAGTCTTGTCTGAAGTCATCATTTCGTAAGTTCTATGGTCGATACAATGACCTTATCAGCAAATACAATCTATCGATAGGTCAAATGCTGACTGACGTTTTTCATACTAATTGTAAGGCCATTATTTACACACTGAACTTTCTAAGGCCATTATTTACATACTGAACTTTCTACGGATTTTCCTGTTTACCCGATCATTGCAAGGAGCACACGGCGGGTGTGACCGGTCGACAGGGGATGCTTACTCCTCTCCATGGCACCTGATCCCGCCTCTGGTGTTTTTTGAGGTCCGTGTTTGCTCTGCTTCCGCTAATTATTGTTTAAATGGACTAAGAGTTTGAATACTGTTCGTTTTCTCCATATTTCATTGTAGAGAGTAGTATATTCGTAAATGCTTTTTCTATGAAGCTTTTAAATGATAGAAAATTGTTATTTTTCCTCATATGCCGAAACCTATCTATATTTAGGTGTTTTGAGCTATAAAAAGAAATGGGGACCCTCTTCAAATATGGTGCATGCCAATAAATGGTGTCCAGCTTCTGCCATTAACATACTGATTTTTTACAGAATATTTCCTTATTATCCAGCAATGCCCTCTAAGCCTCTGCCAAAATTTGAATTTTTACATTTTTCTAAAACATATCGTATTTTACTAAAACTGGTCTTGAGATCCCACTGAGATTTTTCATGAGATGAGACTACTGATCCTGAAGAATGAAAACACATATACGATTTGGAAATTTTCCATAGATAAATTTTTTTTATTTAGCCTTAAATTTCTTTAAAAAAAATTAAAGCTTCCATTTTGCACATTTTTCAGAAACCTTCTCATTTTGCACGACATTTTTCCTACAATGGAAATATTTCTAGATAAAAACGATTATATGCATTGTATTCCTTACAAGTTTATTTTATCTTATGATACAATAATTTATGTTTGTGTGTTCTACATAAGGATAAAAATGCGTTAATTTATAGCTCCTCAATTTTCATGTTTTCATTTGGTCAAAAATGGCCAAATTCAATGGATCTGTCTCCATGGCAACCGGGTGCACGTGTGGAACTTTTGACACCATATTTGGTAGTTTCTTTCCAAGACACATCTTTGATCTAATTTTCATCCAAATCAGAGACATGTCGTTTTCAAGCCCTGTAGTAAATATTTTGGTGCTTACAGTGAATGCATGATAATATTGTTTTATTGAAAATCAATTGCTAGGCCAATCACTCGGCCCTCAAATACTAGTACAATAAGCAAAAAAATTCAGCGATTTTTTTATTTGTCCTAAAAGTTCCTGTTGTAACGAGTCAAAACATAATAATTGTAAAGTGCCTACAAGTGTCTCAACTATTATGAAAGACCTTTGTTTGTGCGTGCGTACTTTAATTTGTTTCTTAATTTGTTGTTGTAGTGCCTGCAGAACAGAGCGACACTTAGGGATCACTTCACCCGGCGTTTGTCTTTTCTGCTTAAAATAATTTATAGTGCTTTGAAGCACCTAATAGTTCTTTGCAAAAAAATAAAAATAAACAATTTTATAAAATAAATAGTGTAAAAAAACATCCTGCACTTTTACAATGTATTGCATCTCACCTACAGTTAAATAATCTTTAAATGAACGTTAACACTAACAGAAAAGGCACACTTTAAAACGATTCGATTTCAAACAAAACGAGAAGGATTGTGAGCAGCACTTGCAATTTTTTTTAACAAGAGCGCTTTCAGGTGTTGAAAAATATTACAATTCATTTTTGTTCCCCGCTTTCACTGAAAGTGGAGGATATTAATTTCGGTCTGTCTGTCCGTCCCTCTAGCTGTCCGTCCGTCTGTATTTCTGTCTGTTTCTAACACTTTCGTTTCCGCGGGATATATCGAGAAGCCTTTGAGGTTTTGCAATGAAATTTTACATAACAACTCCCTATGGCCTAAAGAAGAACCCTATTGATTTTGAGGTCAAAAGGTCAAAGGTCAAGTTCATAAATTCATGATTTCTGTCTGTTTTAACACTTTCGTTTCCAGGCGATATCTCAAGAAGCTCTCGAGCTTTTGCAATGAAATTTTTATACCATAACTCCCTATGGCCTCTCTCGCCCCTCTTAAAGTGTCCCGCCCCGTTTTTTTTTAATTGTATTAAAAGTCGCATGGCACTATTTTAAGCACAGGAGCATGTGGAGAGTTATTACATGTAATACAGTTTGTCGGCGGACTTTATATTCTAATTACATATTTTAGAACTGTTTAATAAAGGCTAAATTAGACACCATGTGGTGTGTAAAATTTTGACAATCTTGAACGTGAACATGTATATGTGACCTAATGTTTGCATTTAATTTGCTATATAAGCAAGCGTCTCGTTTGTCTAGGGGTATGATTCTTGCTTTTCATATGATAGGTCCAGGGCTCAAATCCCGGACGATCCCGTATATTTTTTTATCCGATTTACTAAATGATAGTATTCAACATATAAAATGAAGAAGTTCTGACGTCTGGCATGTATAAACTTCTCATAAAATCATTATTACAGTGTGATGAATATTTTATATAGAAAGAATTTTCTGTACATATATTAAAGAATAAGCAATCAAATCTATATATCCATATTGGCATTTTTTATTTGCTTCAGCATACATGTATACATTTCATAATTCTGCAAGTCTAGGAAGGGGGGGGGGGGGTGTCTGACCCCCCTCTTAGATCTGCACATGCTCTTCTTTTTTCCCTTAAGCGGGGGACACAAATTCTCTGAATTAGCTTGTTAAACCATAAAATTATTATTATTGATACAAAATTAATTTCAATTCTAAGTTACTCAGTAAATTGTAAGCCAAAGGAATTGCTAATGTCAAGAGTTATCATTCCTTGTTGAGGGAAGTATACCGTAATATTGCATGTATCAGTTCCTATTGTTGTGCAAACAAGGATGGGATTGTACCCTGCTGAATGTGTCTTGATTGGTTGTAAAGGTAGACCAATAATCTTCTGGATTTTTGAATGCTGCTCTTATCCACTGAGTCTTGATTATATCTTCAGCGGCGTAGAATACCCCGGTCCAACTTGCAGTAGATCTGGCATCACGGTGCTGATTTTTATAGGCAACTGACCATCCCACGATATAATCCGTTTCATTTACCTGCAGATATTTTCCTACAAGGTCGTACGCTCCATTTCCCACTGTGCTGTCATATAGACCTTGTATGGTTCCTTTTTTACAGGTTATTGTAATTTCTGACTGTAGCTGATTTCTCCATTTCCCAGACAAAGCGCATAGTCCTTGCATCTCTTGTGTCTGACAAAGTGCAGTTTCTGAAAGAAAATCACTTGTACCATATAGTTTATATTAAACTCTTTCCATACATGTAGGCTCATTTCGGAAAACAATTCCATCATTTACACATATTTTTACTAATATATTTAGTTTTCTAGAATAATAACCACGCAAAAAAAAAGACTGAAGAAAAAACAGTTAATATACATGAGCAATTGGAAAACATGAAGGACAGCTTACCAGCATTTCTGGACAAGGACTGCACAGGAATTGCTGCACAAATCAACATAGGCAGAAAATAGCCAACAATCCCCATACTTTGTCTAAAAACATAGCAATATAAATACAATTAAAGCGATTGTTTACACAGATTAAATGCTTGAATGTAAAAGAATTTTTTTGAAAGTTTACCTATATTTTTTTTAACGCAAAGCCTTCTCCGGATGAACTTTTCATGTACATAAAGAATTTACAAAACGTAAGAACCAATAGAAAGTTCTGACAGTTTATGGATTTAGAGGAGTAGAAGGATGTTCTGACTTAAAAAGGGGGAGGGCAAACGTTTATATCTAAAAAGCAGTCAACATGTAATATGAAATGTCTTCATGGATATTTCTACTAAAGGCAGAGCCCCAGAAATCATTTTAAAAATACGTATATCAAACAAGCTCTTTAACGAAAAAAAAACAACCAAGCAAACAAACACGCAAAAAGAAAAACCAAACACACACAAAAAATCATAATAATGAAAAAAACGAAAAAAATTTATATATATATATATATATATATATATATATATATATATATATATATATATATATATATATATATATATATATATATATATATATATATATATATATATATATATATATATATTAAACAAATATAAAAAGAAAACACAAGAATCCTCCGTAAAGCTTTAGCGCTTTCATTAAAAATCTTCAGAAGCTTTACATTACAAAAATGTATACAACGGTAACATAGTAACAATGATTATGACGTTAAACTAAGCGGAACGTTTAATGTCTATATTGTGACGTCATAGATAAAATACTGCAATGATGATGAAAAAGTTCGGGAAAATCATAGGTAGTTTATAAGAGACTATTAAGTTTTGGCTTTAGAATACAAATAAAATGTTTTTCTTTTTCCCGTCTCTGGATATCACTGGCACATCTGAGTTTATAAAAAGGGAAAATGTTAAATCGTTTTTTTCCACAAGTTTCCAGGTGTGCACTTAACTGGATTTGTCTATATTCAGGTGTACTGATGTGTTGCTTATGTACACGTACACGGGCACGGAGACTGTTGCCAGTTTCACCAATATAATATTCTTTGCATCCAGGACATATGATGGCGTATATGACATCTTTCGTATCACATGACATGTTGGCATTAACTTTAAATTCACGCCCGTTAAAACTATAACTCGTCCCTTCTGTAATGTAGTCACATGTGCCGCAGCGAGGGTCCGTACACTTTGACACTGTATAATTATGGTCAGCGAATTGGGAGGAACAAAGTATTCTCTTAAGGTTTTTGGGCTGACGTTTACTGCTGATAAAACGACAGTTTTTGTATGTAGTTTTCGTTTGTTCATCCTCTCTAAGTAAGCTATTTAATTCATAAACAATTGAATTGATGTTTTTATTTCTCGGATTGTACGTGTGAACAAAGGGTATAGTTTCTCCGTCCTTCGCACGTCGTGTGTTTGAAAGTAATTGTGTTCTATCACACTCCTTGGCTTTCATAATACTATTATCTACCAGTTGCTCTGGGTATTTTTGGCTCAATAAATACAATTTTAATTCCTCCAAACGGATATCCCTCGTATTAATATTGCTCACAATGGTACAGATCCTTCTTGCGAGATTATATGGTATAACCGTTTTAGTATGGTGGGGATGGCACGATCCGAAATGCAGATATTGGTGTGTATCTGTCGGCTTATAGTATATATCCGTATTTAACCTGGTATTATCTTTTGATATAAGAACATCGAGAAATGGCATTTGCGTATCATCTGTTTCCATCGTGAATTTGATATCCGAGTTCATTTGGTTTAGTAGATCGTAAAACTCCGATAATTTGTCGACATCATATATCAGTATATCTAAATGACAGATTCCAACAGAATTTTATTTTAGAAGCACTTAAATTAGTTCTAGAAAACAATTCATTTGCTTTTTCTGACCATCATTACCTTCAAACTAAGGGAACTGCAATGGGGACGAAAGTCGCACCTACCTATGCAACATTAACCTTAGGTTATTTAGAACATAAGTTACATGAACAATTATGTTCGTTGTGGGGAATAGAATCTGCAAATAATATACAGTCTAAATGGAAAAGATTTTTAGACGACTGTTTTATCTTATGGGATGATGATGTCGACAAATTATCGGAGTTTTACGATCTACTAAACCAGTGAAACTGGCAACAGTCTCCGTGCCCGTGTACGTGTACATAAGCAACACATCAGTACACCTGAATATAGACAAATCCAGTTAAGTGCACACCTGGAAACTTGTGGAAAAAAACGATTTAACATTTTCCCTTTTTATAAACTCAGATGTGCCAGTGATATCCAGAGACGGGAAAAAGAAAAACATTTTATTTGTATTCTAAAGCCAAAACTTAATAGTCTCTTATAAACTACCTATGATTTTCCCGAACTTTTTCATCATCATTGCAGTATTTTATCTATGACGTCACAATATAGACATTAAACGTTCCGCTTAGTTTAACGTCATAATCATTGTTACTATGTTACCGTTGTATACATTTTTGTAATGTAAAGCTTCTGAAGATTTTTAATGAAAGCGCTAAAGCTTTACGGAGGATTCTTGTGTTTTCTTTTTATATTTGTTTAATATTGTAATCCGATTACTGAGACTTTATTTCAATTTTGGATATATATATATATATATATATATATATATATATATATATATATATATATATATATATATATATATATATATATATATATATATATATATATATGATTGCGCCCATGACAAAAGGGCCTTATGGCAATTTTGTTAAAACAGAGAAATAACGTCATAAAGATATGACGTTGCAGACGGTGAGCGTCGACGCAGATTTTTTTATCCACGTGTTTTACGTTTTGACACGTCTAGCTCACTTTTGTCGTTGTTCTCAACATTGAAATAATTATTTATTTTTATTTATATCTTTAATTCACGTCTTGATCTTCTAGTCCACTGATATTAATTAAAATATTTAGATTTTTATTCGAGACCCGTTTCTTTACTACATGTTATATTGTAGCTTTATACGTCTCTGATATCTGGGCTGTGTATTATACATGTATAGAAGCTTCAGACAAGGTGATTTTCTGGATAATTGAATGTGGATGAACGAATGCGATTTTGATATATAGACAAATTGAAGTTATTTGTTAGACACGTGTATATTATCAAAATATTGCAGAGGAAATCGTTTTCCTGTATAAGATCCGCCCCACCAGTCTCAACACATCGATCATGTAAACATTGAAGCATTGGTACATCGTGCATAAATTTTTGATGTATAATGTTTTAATTTCCAAAAAATTGAAACTGATCACACTTCCTCCAACAGAAAAGAAAAGTATTCTTTTAAGTTTTCACAAATCTAGCAACGAATGACAGACGTGATATTATTTTTAAGAACTATAAATAAAAACAAGAGAGGTAACTCTGACAAGCGAGATACTAGAGAGGTACCAGAGAGGGACTTTCTTTTTTTTTTTTTTAACACCATTCAAAATCAACATACTCATACAAATTTGCTCCCGTAGTATAAAAAATATTTTTAAAAATCTTACTTATCATCAGTTAAAAAACGTTTTAATTGTAAGTATTATATTTATATTTTCTTTAAACGTATTTTTGAAAGCTCATGGAACTAGCTGCTGTCAAAGTGAAAGAGGAAAAAAAATATAGAATAAGAAAAGATGCTACATTGAACAGACTTTCATTTATTTTTTAAATTTGTTACATGTGCATCTATTTCAACATGAAATTATTTTTAAAAATAACTTGAATTTTATTTTTTTTTTCAGTAATAATGATCATGAATTTAAATAAAATAAAATGAAATTTAAAAAAAATTGTTTCGTCTTATTTTTGTTGTGGCCACTTCCGATATAAGTACTTGAAAACAAACAAAAACTACCGAATGAAATAAAATTGTTCTAATTGTTCTAGCTTAAAAAAAAAGTTTACATGTATGTATACCTGATGTGTGTGTGAGAGAGGGAGAGAGAAAGAGAGAGAGAGAGATGTTACATTAAATCCAGTTTATTAATACAATGTGAAATGTGAAACTTTAATGAAAGGGCGAATTTTCAAAACACAACAATATCGTATTATGAAAAGAAATCTCTATCCCTTGGTACTCGTACGTGTGGTGCATAAAAAAGTTCAAAGGTTTTAGCTTTATCTGCAGTTTTAAGTCACTTACAAGTCAAATATATATAATGCTTATCATTCATAGAATCTCAGCATTGTATGTCATTACAGTTCTATTATCAATCTAAAACTCGTTTTCTTATTGAAATAATAATCTCAGTTATCGGTTTAGTATGATATTGCTTAACTTGCCGTTGAATTATGTAAACGGGCTGATTTTTGTTATTTGGATTTATTGAAATAAATCTTTTTAAGATCAAATTGTATTCAAACATGCATTGTACAAATTAAATTAAATGCTAAAAATATACTGCACAAAAGACTAAGAATATGTTTGCAAGTTTTTTATTTTTGTGGCAGTGCAGGAGACCGGGGAAGAGGGCCAGGGTCATTTTATATTACCGGGACCTAACTACTTTACAGTTTATCTGTAAAGTTTTACAAGGATAAGCATATCCAAGTCTCTGGCATGGGGCCAGAATGGAATTTTTATATTGTAAAACTTCATATACAATAACATTTGAAAACAATAACATTAGAATTTCATACGATAAAGAAGCCGCAAGAAATGGGGGGGGGGGGGTGTTCTACACACACCATCACATAACAATATTTACATGTACCTAAATGTGTGCCACATCGTAAAAATTTGTCATTTAAAAACTCAGCCAGTCAACGAATATTATGAACCAGTCGCATTTAACTGACTGTATATATAAAACTTTCAATTAATTTTTACACCCCCCCCCCCCCCCAGCGGAAAAAAATCTATTAATTAATCTGCATGTCATTGATTCATAACGACAACATATATATAATTATTTATGATTTATTTCTTAGAAAAATCTATTTAATATTAATTTTAAAAAATGACATATTGATTTCATTCAAAGTTCAGATAAAATTTGTTGAAATGACAATAAAATACCCGATATCTATTAATACGCAGTGTATACATGTACTTCTAAAACCATTTAATTTTACAAAATCAAACGAAAATCGTTATTCTAGGACGCAATTTTTCTCATGATTAACTAGATTTGATAACAGTTAAGTTTCCATTTCCAGGCATGTGGAGCTCATGATCGCTGTTTGTTTTGCAATTGACCCTGCTCATACATGAATACATGTACGTAAGGAGAAGTTCAAGGTGCAAAAATAAATTGAGGAATTATTTCAATAATATTTCAAACCTAACCAAATGATGTATTTGGAGGTTATGGGGTTGGTGGTGGGAAGGCATCCCCACTGCACACCTAAAATGTAGGAAGATTTTAAAAATAGACAACCCTCGTATGCTATTAAACTCATGTTAACTACAAGTATTGCATGTTTCTGTCATTTAACTTTTAACCCCCCCCCCCCCCCCCCCACACACACACACACAATCCAACCACTGGTCATCCTGGATCTGTTCCTTTCATTTTAAATGCATGTGAATTATAATTCATCCATTTGTTTATAATTTATCAACCTGCTTACTTAAATTAATTATTTAAAAATTTTCCTTGCTGTGACTGAAAAAATGTGTATCATTTCAATTTAAAAAAAAGAAGTTTTGTTACCACATGCGGGCAGAAGTCCTGAGTTTTTGTTTGAAATTTTTTTTTATCGAATATTGCTTAACAAGCAGTGTATCAACTTAATGTCCTTAAATTGTTGTACAGCGTATACAGTAACTCACTACATTTCACAAATTTTCTGTCTAATTATATTTAGAAAACAAAAAAAAAAAAAACAAATTTTCACCACCCAGCAGCATCTATTTTATTGTTGTTCCCGAGAATTTTTTTGAAATATTTTTTAACTTCACATTTTGAAAGAGATATCGTTTATACTGGATTCAACCCCCCCCCCCCCAAAAAAAAAATGACATCTTGTCCTATCGAGAGCCATGCTTAAAATGAGATGATTTTTTAATAAATTCTACAGGTTTCTCAAACGATTATAACACGAGATAAATACTTTGGTTTTGAGAGAATAAATTGATATTGAACAGAAGCCGCTTGCTTCTCGGGTTTTCCTGACATTCCAGCATAGTGAAATGTAAAACAAACAAACGAACAAACACTCATAATTCTATACACCACTGCATGATGGATAATAGTTAATACAACTATTTATTATCATATTATATGATTATTAAAAGAGACAATGACTCAAAAATGTTTCTGGAAATACTCAATAACATACGTTTATTACCGTAGTAACATTACAATGCAAAGTGAAAGTCAAGTTCACTCTGAAAACTTTTGACGTTGGTGCGAAAGTAACATGACGTCATTGTTTACCTGTTAAAGTATCATTGATATAAATGAAGAAAAAACCTACTTAGAGTTGACGTAGGGCCATAAAAATTCAGATTTGGCAACTTCTAACCTTGCTCTATTAATATCCATGAAAACCTTAAAATGTGTAAAAACTGCCATAAGGGCCCTTTTCCCATGGGCGCAATCATATATATATATATATATATATATATATATATATATATATATATATATATATATATATCTTAAAAAAAAAACAAAGCAAAAAAAATTACAAATATAAAACAAAACAAGAAAAAAAAAACAACAAAGAAACTGATCGCTTCAACATAAAAAAAAAACCAACCAACATAACAAACAAACAAAAAAAAAACAAAAACAAAAACAAACAAACAACAAAACAAAAAATAAAAATAAAAAAATTATTTAAAAAAACAAACAAACAAACAAATAAACAAAACTAAATGAATAAATAAATAAAATAAAAGGAAAAAACAATTTAAAAAAAAACAAAAAACCAAAACAAAAAGAAAACTTATTGCTTTACATCAAGTTTTAGAAAAGGAATTGAATTCTTTTCTTGAATATAAATTCATCTCTATCCATGTGGTAAATTTTGAAAGATTTGAAAGAGTAATCAACTAACCTATATATGTGCGTTTAGGAGGGTTAAGGAGGAAATTTAAGTTGTGAATAGCCAAACCAAGAACCTGTTTTTAGGGAAAACGAATAAAAATGGTGAATATTCAATATTAAAGTAGCATAGAATTTTTGCTATAGCAAAATATTTACCTTAGAAATTGCTTGTTACTCTCTTACGTGATCTTCGCGCCGAAAATTATTCCCTGGACTGTTTTATATAAAAATATATGATCACATGATATGTATGTCACATCTAATTAGGAAAGCTCAAAAGTGGGAATAATATTACATACAGGCGAAATATGAAACGTTAGATCGTTATTATTTTCTTTTAATCACCCTTATGAGAAACATTTTTTTTTCTAAAGGTGGCAATAGGGAATAGCAAGTCTGCAATGTTTCCTCTTAAAACCACGACTCTTTGTCACTGTTGTGACTGGCAAACAGAATGAAAAGAAAATCTCTATTATTTTTTCTTGTGTAATGCTGCATTAACATGCAAAAATATCATAATTAAACCTTTTTTTGCTTGATATGTTTGCTTATTGCTAGTTTGTTCAATAGTGTATGACTGTACTAGTTTGTTAAATAGTGTATGACTGTCCTAGTTTGTAAAATAGTGTATGACTGTACTAGTTTGTAAAATAGTGTATGATTGTACTAGTTTGTAAAATAGTGTATGACTGTACTAGTTTGTAAAATAGTTTATGACTGTACTAGTTTGTAAAATAGTGTATGACTGTACTAGTTTGTTAAATAGTGTATGACTGTACTAGTTTGTTAAATAGTGTATGATTGTACTAGTTTGTTAAGTAGTGTATGACTGTACTAGTTTGTTAAATAGTGTATGATTGTACTAGTTTGTTAAGTAGTGTATGACTGTACTGGTTTATTAAATAGTGTATGATTGTTATTGGTGTTCCAATCATCGATTATAATCGAAAATCAGTCGATTGCTGGCATAATCAAGCGCTCGATTACAATTTTTTTTTTATTCCGATTAATCGGGTTATTTTTTTTTATTTTACAAGCGTAATAGTTTTTAAGCCAAACATTACTGCCGCGACTTATCTATTAACTTATTTGTGTATCGTAATGGCACAGACAAACAGACAATAATATTCAAACCCTGGTAACAATGCTCATTCCCCGATATGGACGTACTTGGATTCTACAAAATGAACGAAGAACCAGCTGGACTACCACAGAAAAGTAGTTATTCACCCATTCTTACCATTTAATAAACTAAATTGACAGACTTTGTAAACATGGTAAATGTCCGATTATAATTGATAATTAGTTAGTTACAGTAGCCCAATCATCGATTAAGAAATTCTTACCGATTCCCATCACTAATGATTGTACTGGCTTGTTAAATAGTGTATGACTATACCTGATTGTTAAATAGTCTACGATGGTACTGGATTGTTAAAAAGTATATGACTGTACTTGATTGTTATTTAGTGTATGGCTGAACTTGATTGTTAAATATAGTGTACGACTGTACTGGTTTGTTAAATAGTGTATTTCTGTACTGGTTTGATAGTGTCTGTACTGCTTCAAACAAGATGACTGTCAGTACCTATATTTTTAACTCTGCTCGTTTAATATTAAGTTGTTCTAACATATTCTTTTAATAACTAGCTTGTTTTTTTTTTTTTAGTATCTCCTACAGGTTTGTCTGGGCGATAGACTGCACCACGATTTTTTTGTACCCTTTGCCTTATTTATATTATTCAAACTCTCAATCATGTATCTTTCACATACACAACATAGACGGCACCAGCAGAATGTTTAAAAAAAATTCATTCAAAATTTTTGTTTTGCTGTTGATAAAATTTACTGTATAAATTAAAGTATGTGTATAAAATGTCAAATAAAGCCTATCAATTCTATGTAATCCGTTGAGCACCTTATGTGACAATGATCTTGTTTTTAAACGACAAGAGAAAAGAAAATAGTGTAGCCTTCGTAGAGTGACGGATCTATTTCTGAAACATTGTAAACCAAATTACATTTATCTTAGTAGGTTCTTCTTTGATAAATGATAATCAAGATTGTCAGACTTAAATATTTTTTATCAAGCGTTTGGCATTACAAATGTTCACATGCAGAGCCTAGAATTGTATGAACCTAATAAAACATCATCGTTAGATATTGCTGATTCTTCAGAAAATGAAATACAACGCCATTCAGTGTGATCGGATATGTTGAACTAATTATATAAACTTTAAATACTGAGTGGATCACTTTTCAGCAAGCATTTCCTTTTCTGAGACTTCCCTTTCTACAACTTTAGTAGTACAAGTCTGCTGTACCTGAGAAAACGTATCTTCAGGGGCCCAGAGGGGCAAAAAGTCTTTCATCTATAAATCTTTGACGAACAATTTGTTGTTATAATTTACTGAAGCAAAATTAATTAAGTGCATTATATTAATTATTGTTACAAATACAGTTCACTGATATATACATTTACATATGTTAATAAATAAACACTATTAAATAACGCCATTCTGCTGATATTCTGGGAACAAAATACAGGAGTACTTTCACTGGTTTCCCTCCGCCAAGTGTTAATCTGTACATCTTGATGGACAGGTTAGCGATACAGGTCAAGCTGTGGAAAAATGTTCTTTTTGTATATATCGCATTTCCCTTAATTTATATCGAGGTTTTTGCCTTTATATTTTGCATATCCTTGATATTTATCGAGTCTTTGTTTTTATATTTAGCATTTCTTTTATATATTTCGATTTTGCTTCTCGTATATTTCGTATTACCTTTAGACATTTCAACGTTTTCTTTTTATATTTCGTATATCCTTTATATCTAAAGGTTGGCACTAATGAGCGTCCTTAAGTGAGCATTAAACGAGGTTAGCCAATACGAAAAAAATGAAAATATAAATATTAATCAAAAAAATTGTCTCAGAAATCCTCTCGAAGCTTACTGTTTAGTTACACTGAAGAGGCATTTCCAATCTGAAACTTCAAACTTAAAGAAAATAAACGTTAACTTCATTTTTCCTGTGGCAAAGAGAACAGGTTAGGAGAACCTTATGTTTTCTATTCCAGGATAAGTCAGCATTACTACAATTCACAGCCTGGTACAATCTTAAAATCTGATGACGTCAAACTAAACATTGTTAATGGATACAATCCAACCAATAGAAAATGGGATATAGTCTTTACCTGGAATTACCTCGTAAAGAATATAGAAACAATGCTTACATCGGGACATATGTGAATGGAAAACAAGAAGTGGATATATATATATACTTGCACGTATTCTAGTGGCAATCTATTTATTTTGGCGTTTGGTTCAATTGCGGTGAAACTGAAAAAGGGCTATGAGGTTTGGTTACAAGTATTCTTGAAACAAGCTGTTTTCTTACATTAAAAGTACACCTTCTTTACAGGACATGAACTGATATCATTGCCCTTATCAAGTGTGCAGTCACAATGGAAACTAATGATTCACTAGAGGACAGCCAGATAGCCCATGTCCACACTTATCTTGGAAATCCTTGCCTAGGGTTACCTCTCTAGTGGTGCAAAACTCACAGAACATAAATAATTTAAAGGGAGGAGGCAGGGCACATTATCGACATAAATGGATATAAGAAGTGCTCATATGACCACTTCAGATATGTTTTTTTAAACATTTTCTACGTGTTCAGTTGAAGATTTTACTTTAAAGTGCTTGGAAACACGTAACACGTTGTTCCTCGCAAAAATGATAATAAACAATTTTATAAAATAAGTAGTGTACGGAAACATCTAGCACTTTTACAATATATTGCATCTCACTTACAGTTAAATAATCTTTAATGAATGTTAACATTGATAGTAATCACATTTTAAAACGATTCGATTTCAAAGAAAATGTGAAGGATTGTGTATAGCACGTTTCAAAGCTTTGCCAAAAGCACTCTCAAGTGTTGAAAAATATTACAATTCATTTCTAAAGCCATAAAATGATTTTTATTAATACATAATTGATTTAATTCTAGGTTATTCGGTAAATTGTAAGCCAAAAGAATTTCTTATGTCAAGAGTTAGCATTCCTTGTTGATGGAAGTACACTGTATTATTGCATGTACAATGAATTCAGTTCCTATTGTTGTGCAAACAAGGATGGGATTGGACCCTGCTGAAAGTGTCCTGATTGGTTGTAAAGGTTGACCAATAATCTTCTGAGTTTTTGAATACTGCTCTTATCCACTGAGTTCTGATTATACCATAAATGGCGTAGAATACCCCAGTCCAACTTGCAGTAGATCTAGCATCACGGTACTGATTTTTACGATGGTCGATATCAGCCTGTCTGAAATAAAATAACACGGCTTATAATTTTGTCTTTTGTACATGTACAAAATTATAGGTCGTGTAATTTTATTTTAGGCTTGCTGATAACGGCCATCGTATATTTTTATAGGATACAGACCATACCACGATATACTCTGTCTCCTTCACCAGTAGATACCTCCCTGCAAGGTCGTAATCTCGTTCAGCGTTTCCGACGGCGCTGTTATATTGACCTTGTATGCTTCCGTCTTTGCAGGTTATCACCATTTCTGACTGTAGCTGATTTCTCTATTTCCCAGACAAAGCACACAATCCTTGGATCTCTTGTGTCTGACAAAGTGCAGTTTCTGAATGAAAATCACTTGTACCATATCGTTTTAGTTAAACTCTTCCCAAACCTGTACGCTAATTTCGAAAAAAAAATATTAAACCATTTATACGTATTTACATTATATTTCTCTAGAATATATAATGACCACGCAAAAAAGACTAAACTAGAGGTACAGTGAGCACCGAGCACACAGAATGATAACCCCGCCTCCCGTATGATAATTATGTTTTGCTATGGGAGACACGAAACTTGTCCGATCAGGAATTAATATAGGAGGTGCACAAAGGCACTATATAATAAAGAATCTGTGAATTTATCATTAAATTTTATTCAGTAGTATAGGAGGAGTTGCAGATAAGAGATGGAAACCCCTCAATATTATAGAGTCCATGTTTTGCCATTGGAGATCCGAAATAATTGTCCGATCAGAAAGTAAAATAGGAGGTGCACAATTGCACTATGTAATAAAAAATCTGTGAAAGTATCATTAAATTTTATTCAGTAGTATAGGAGGAGTTGTGGATAAGAGAT